AGTGAGACCAAGTTAGATGGTTAATATCAGAAGTGGGCATACCCCAGGAGTCTTTTGACCTGTTCTGGCAGTTGCAAAATCGATTGAAGTTTTTAAACGGCTACAAGAATAAAATTGTCAATCATTTACCAATATTTGGCATTCTCAAGACCATCCTCTTTCTCTCTCTCCACAAACACACACACACAAACAAATACACCCACTAATCAGACAATACATACATTGTATGTGCAGTATATAACTTATTTTTTGCTATCAGTCCGACGGTCAATGTTTGACCTGGGTCGGGATCCTATCACAGAAGTCTCTTTGTCATACTGTCAAACAATAACCATATTGCCAACAAGCAGTCTATCGCGACGTGTTTACTTGTTTGTTCTGTTATCTAGCATTGTTCTTGATCGCAAGCTTTAAAAAAGCATAATTGGCATCACAGCTTGGAAACTAGATTGATGAATATCCAAATATGTTGGTGTCTTTTCTGTCTCTAAATAACCCTGGTATAAGACGCCTATACTGGAACATCAAGTGCTCATGGAAATAGTTCCTTTTCTATTCAAATTATGAAAATACCTTTGATGACACCTTGGACCTATGAGTTTGTTTGAAAGGGTGATACATGACTTACAGGTGGGTATTGGATGACTTATACCTGTAGATGGGCACTAGATGACTTATACATGTAGATGTGGTCTAATGGATTGAACTAGTGAGGCGGCATAAGGACATGTTCTAAAAAAGCTGACGTACGGACAAGTAAACCGATTTGAATACAACCTAAAAACACGAGTTAATAATAGTATGAAAATGATACAGATTTTTAACCGAAAGGTATTGGATTATTCAGAGGTACCCTTTTGAAAATAATTTATCTTTATTAGTAAAAAATTACCAAATTTTAATACAAGGTACGGGGACCTTGAATGGATTGGCGGTGGATTGTATTCATACTGAATTTTATTAGCATTTAGTTAATTTCAAAGAATGGTTAGGAAGGCGTCTTTGGGGTCAGTTTGTGAACGAAGGAATAATGCGAGGTTGACTTTGGACTTTAAGAAAAATGTATGGGGTACATGTACCCGAGCAAAATATAAATATGGGGTATTTGTCACCAATTATCTGTTCTTCCTGCCTATTTTGGCCGATATGCATGCCTTCTCTGTTATATTCTCATATTATATGAAGTTTGCAGAAGTAACTGTTTTACAGCCGAAGCTTGTTTCCCGAAGTGATTTCGATGCATTGTTGAGAGGTTTTATTGAGAGAGATGTAGTTGAAATGAATATAAAAAACAGCTATATCTTTATTAAGCAAAATCGGTAAATAAACCTGTTGAGAATGATTAATGCTCAGCTGCATTATCTACAAACAATTTGTTTTGTTTTTATATCCAACAATGGCGGTGTTTTCGTACCGGTTGTGACAAAAGACCCGTCTGTAACTATGAGCATCGGAATGTTCCGTTCTGTCGAAAATAACGATCGCCCATGCAACTGACTTCGCGGAAATTAAACCTATTCTTTTTGACTAGTTGTCTCTTCAACACATTCTAAATCCATAAATTGCTTTCTGCTCGTGTTGGATTCTCATATACCACGTGTGGGCATTACCCCCAGAATACATTAATAATTCCAACATGCATCGCAGAAGAAATAAATCCAATGGTCTATGAAAGATGGTGTATTTTTGTCACGAACTATGAACTATATGTTGATAGCCAGTGATAAAACTCAATATTCCTCAAACAATCGTCTAGACCTTGAGTAGTTAAAATCTTGACTTTGTGCGAGGCATGTGTAAATCACACATAACATATGCATAAACGTACGGATATAGAATTTTAAAATATTCTCAGGATGTATAGAATAGCGGTTAATATTCTGGTACTACAACATAGAGAACCGAAAGAAATTGTTGCGGAAATCTTTGGATAGACTGTCCAACATATCAAAGTTACAACAATTATAAAAATTAATAACACATCAGACTGCAGCACTTATAAATTGTAGGACAATCTCAAAGATTTTCCGATAAAGTCATATTCAACGTCAAAAATCAGTACATATATTCTATGTCCCTATACCCAACAACAATGGTAAACACGCGCAGTCAGTGAAGCAATTCCTGCAAAAAATTAAGAAATGGAACATACCGGTGAAAGGACCTGTCCATTTTTGTATCCTAAAAAATTCAGAAGGTAACATTGAGATAAAAAAGATAATCTTTCCACTTACAGAGCTCTTGCCTCAGCTAACTTCCCTCTCGTTCGACCCCATGCCAAAGTGTGGAGGGGTGAGAAGAAAGGATTCATTCAAAGATTCTCTCGAGCTCTTGGTTATGGGCCGTTTGCAGAAGACGGTCCTTCATCACTTCTGACACGCACGGCTTTATACCGCGCGGGCCGTCGTCGAAACATTGCGAGGAGACAGAAGGGATGTTACGTGACATGAAGAAATTATTTTTCACCTTCGTCTGTGGCAACACTTTTCCCCTTTCTTAAAGCCAAATATGTATAAATATTCTTATCAGAAAAATTTTTTCTATTCTCTTACTTTTGAAAAAAAAAGGTATGTTATTCTAAGCTTCAGCACAGTTGTCTGTATAATATTTCATAACGTGCTATCATTTAGAATTCACACGTGGAAGTTAATGCGTGAGCGACTTGTTTATGTGCGTTTGGTTTTTGGCATGCATCTGTATCCGTTTCTGTGTGTTTCTATCTCGGTGTGGGGGGATATGTGTATGCGTGTGCGCGCGCATGTATGTCGCCCCTCGCGCAAACCATCTGTCTCCTCATTTAAAACAAAAGCGATACGTGTCATACTTCAATTTCCCTCCCTCTAGTGTGTGACGCTTAGCATCGATAATTTATGACGAAAAGCGAAGGTAAGGTTCCTCCGTAACAAACATGGCTGGCGTGTGCAGCCGTTGAAAATAGACAGCCGAAATATCAATTGACTGTGATGGGGATCACTGGACAAAGAGCGTTCGAATAGTCTGGTCGCCTCAGTTTCATCGTGCGCGCTGGCCAACACGGTGAGTTAAGTGTTTAAGCTGTTTGATATTCTACGCAACTCCCCATGTTTTACTAACCTCTCTTTGGTGATAAGATCCAAAGACTCAGAAGGCGACCAATAGTGTGTTCCACTTCGTACTTCTTGTTGCTTTCAATTCGACTTCGTCTTCCCGTCCATCGCCATCGTCTCTATATTGTCTAAGATGGTAAAATGCATGCTACTAATGTAGGATGTTTACCTTGTGGTAGTCTAACAATATATATCTGTCAGATGTGGTAGCATAGAGCGCTGACTGATGAGAGGGCAACGTGTATTCGCATGCAATATAGCAGTCGGCATAGTAGAAGTACTATCTAAACGGAGATTATCTTTTAAGTACTTTCCACCCTCAAATGTGGCAGAAATCTGTTATATCTCGATCAAAAATAGTGTATTTTCCTCCATATTTATACACAGCGCATTGTCCGCTGAAAAGGTAATGATGTTTACAGATCATTTCTTTTTTTTTGGTGGGGGGGGGGGGGGGGGGGGGATAGTCGACATGCACGCGGCGCGAGCACATTTGCAACGGGACTCCTTATGTTTGAGGTTCTAAGCTGAGTATTTCTATCGCAAGTTTCAGTAAGCTCACGTGATTAATATCCGCGGACACAAGCTCCCCATTTGTTCACTTATGACACCAAGGACAAATTAACTTGGCATCACGTTTCTTGCATGATTTCCTCATAAGGTTTATTGTCCTACCGGATACATCAAAGGACTAAAAGATAATTTTTAGTCAGCGTGTGTGGTTATTAAATACTAGTGGCTCGGTCAGACTTAGAAATGTTAGTCAAATACGAAAAATAATAATAAATAATAATAACACTTTAGTCGAACTACCTCAGCACATCGGGCATACTGCAGAAAATAATAGATTTCAATCACCAGTGAATGAAGTTAAGCAGTATCTGCAATAACACATGCATGCTAAAATTGTGTAAAAATATTTTGGACTTTTCAAATACCTGTCGCATGACGAAAGCACCTTTACATTTCATTGCTATTTTACCTGATTCAAATGTTGTGACAGTCACGTCTACATTAGAACTGTCACAAATTATGTGGTTAAAAAACTTCTTTATCTCAAGCACTCATAGTTTGCATAAAACCAGCATAAATATCTTTTCCCCCTGAATCAGTAGCTTCATACAAACACAAGCCACACTAAGATTAAAATCTTGAAGACCAACATAAGTTATAAATTTCCCAGCATAATTCCTACATTCTGAGGTTACCGGTAATCTACAAATATATTTGATGGTTATGTTTAAACACTGATTCGGCAAAGAAGAAATGACAGACAAAAAGAGTTCCATTGATGATAGAATATCTCAAAAGGTAAACCACGGTCGAGGTTGATAAACAACCTCAAGAATGTAAATACATGTAGCAGGGCTTGTGATTTCATCACATACAAAATGTTACAACAAACGATAGACGTCTACAAAGATAAAAAGACCGTTTTTTCTAACGAAGATACAAATCGAATTTCACTTGGATACTGGTTATTCGAACCGAAAACCCGGTGATTCAGAGCCATAAGAGAAAGTCGTTTAGATTGTTTGAAAATCAAAACAAACATTTTCTTTACCTAATAGGGGTAGCAAATGTCCATATACAACGACAATGACAAAGTGCAAATGCCCACCTTAAAATCCGCAAAAGGGACATAACGGTGGAATCACGCAAGTTCGGTACAAACACCTGCGGAATTTCCAAACAAAATAAAACAAATATTATAGTGGTTTTTAGGCCCCATTCCCATAGACCCCATCGGTCTACCTGGATCGACCCTACTCTGTGGGGAGACTTGCTGACTGCAATCGGCTTAACTAAATGACTCGCCTCCTCCTGGCGTTAAGTAGAACACAGAAAAACTGGTGATAATACATGTACGTGTATGTTGGAAACAAGAGGAGGGGAGTCATTCAGTTAAGCTGATTGCACTTGAGGGACACCGCAGAGTTGGGTCGATCCATGTAGACCGATGTTGTGTATGGGAATGGGGTCTTAATGTGTACTTTCCCTTTGATGAGCGTCCTTTGTCATACCATATTTCATACTGGTATAAGACGCAATGTTCACATTGTCAAATTATCAATCCATGTCTTATCGAAAAATGTAGTACATTTTTGTAGCACGAGCAGTGATTAAGTAATACTGAGCAGTGGAAATCCTCCGTGTATGGTGTAACAATTTTAAATAGTGTCCTTGAGGAAGGGCCCAGGAGGCCGTCGAAAGGTCATGGTCAACTTTTGTTTATCTGTTTGAACCGAATTAAAGGTAGTCGATCAAAGATTTCTAGAACATGTACACTAAAAAATGATTGGGCTCAGGAGTACGCCCTAGACACAGAATTGATTTTACAGCTTAAACTTCAGTTTTACCAAAAAAATAATAATAATAATAAGCCAGTTCCCTGGCTAAGGATGTGTGCATGTGTCTGTGAGAGTGATGTAACACTGTTCCTGATAGGGCAAGATGTGTACATGTGACCACTGTAACGTTGGCAACAAAGATGTTAGCCACTGGAAATGACACTTTTTTTGTGAAACTGGGACCTGATTCATAAATGGTGGCTGTGATTGAGTCTTGTTCTTTTACTTACACTGTCAAGAGACAGCAATTGTTGTTTGAGATATGTTACAGCCAAGGGGTCAGGCGTCCCATTAGAACTCTATACAAAGTGAAAGATATCCAATTAGAAGTAATTCTAGAGGGGACATGCCATATCAAAAAGAAAATTCATTGTCAATGCAGATGATACGAAACAAATGAATATTTTATTCAGTTTCTAAATATAGCTTGAACTAGTAAGGAGACGTTGAATCTATAACAATACTGAAGCATCTTTGAAATACAAACGCCTTCTAAAAACTACTGGACGACGTATTGAAGCGAAAGCTGTACAAATGTGCTTCTTATTCTAGCCATCAACGTACATGTATCGTTTCAATCACGACATATTTAGTGCAAATTTGCTCTCTTGTCCTGAAGAATGCCGTGTATCGACCCCAAACCCACAGGGGCGAAACTTTGACACGCACTGTTTTTCGAATGTAACGGACAGGAACGTCAGAATTCAAGCAACTGTGGAAAGTTAATTAGCATAACTTATATTAAGCTGTAGTTTTTAGTAAAACACAAAGGAGAGAAGTAAAAAAATGATAAAGATAATGGCATGTACACTGTATCGTGTTTATTTTAACAGGAAGCACCTAGCATAGGCACTGGTCAAAAGACCAGTTCACCGACAGTAATGAAATTTTTGAACAAGTGGCAATTCAGTGACAGATATTTTGAAAACAGATCGGATTCATTACAAACAATAAACAATCTGTAACCATTTAAGTGCCAAGAAACATGTTTAATAAGCTACCACAGCTGCGTTGACACAGATTTGATTAAGACGGAATATCGTTCATCAAAAGACTCGTTCAGTTAACTTGTAGACTACATAAACTAATCTGAGGTATGTTTCACAAAATAACTTAAGTCTAAGATTTAAAAAAAGAAAAACAAAACTTTTAGACTAAACTTGCAGCTCAATCTGACCAGAGATAGATCATTAGTTAATGGACTATGTATAGTATTTTGCTTGTTTTGGTCTATAAGAGCGCATTCAGAACGGCGGACTAACAGATCCGCGGATCAAATATGACGACCCACTAAAAAGCTTGACGCTTAATACCCGATTAGACAACTGAATAGATTCCCCACGGGGATTATGCAACAATTATTCAACTGGGTCGGCCATATTTGATCTGCGGGTCTGTTGCATCCCATTTCTATAGATTAGATCGACCTACTTTAGATCGACCTAACTCCCTGGGGGTTCACGCTAAATAGCTGTCAGCCGGGCGGACACGAAAGTTAATTACCCCCTTACAGCTTGTAGTAGGCGGGACGGACATTTAAGTCGGATTATCTGAAAGTAATCTAGTGAGACTCCCCGCGGGGATAGATCGATCTAAAATCTATGGGAATAGAGCCTTAGTCTTCTGTTCTGAATGCGGTCTAAGTTTAGACCGATGTTCGGGCTGTTCTTATGGGGTAACGTTCTCTCTAGCCTCACGAGTTACACCGACCTCAATTAAGTCTGACTTGCACATATGCCTTTTAAGCTGAAAAGAACACGTAATCTCCCCATTAAAAAGAGCTGCCTATCTGCGCCCCTGAACACCCATGACGGGGAAATGACCAGTTTAATGTTCATTGCTAAATAGTAATTATGAGTTAATAATGCCCACTTGGATATCACCCTGTGTTATTAAGCTGACGTAATTTCGTTTAGGTTGAATGAACTCCTTAATTAGCAATTCATAAAGACGTAATGTTGGCAGTTTTGAAATATTAGGTGAGTGGGAACAAGGGTTATCTTACACTGAAGTATTATCTAACTGGTTCCTTCGTTTTACCAGACATTTGTGCTTCAAGTTGAATATTCTCATGGATGTCACATCTCCAAGTGATAGAGATTAAAAGAAAGTGGAATGTTACGCAATTATGAACATGTTATCTAAGGTTAACAGAAATTAAATCTAGCATATTAAATATCAGTTGCTATTGTGATCGATTTTCAACACTATAAGGCCTATCCTGTGAAGGCTTTCATTCATGAATTAAACAAATAATATTTATGAAAGACTATCAAATACATCCACTTCACTGAATCACCTGTACCTGTACTTAAAAGTCTTGTGATGCTGATTAGCGTAACTTTAACATTTTGAATAGAGCATTAACAGTGCACCAGAACCTGTTTTCTTGTCAAATTTTATCTGAAGCGCATTAAGGGGTGCTTTTCAACTTGGCAGCAAAGATAGCCATAACATCAACAAAGTACATTTTCTATCAAGTTCAATTTTTTTCGTTTATTCAATATGTATTTCTTTTTCATTTCATTTGTTTACAGTGCAATTGCTGGACAGTTTCAGGTATATGTAGTATACAAACACAATGACCCATTTTTCATGAGAATACAAAATGTTCGCTCTTTTTGATGTGAAAAAAAAGTAGTTTTAAAACATTTGGTTCAACGAGGCACCTTGCACAGCAATTCCCGTAGGCCTATTGTTTTACTTCAAACTGGCAAAAGCGGTTTTGAAGTTATGGTCATAACAGCATGCAAGGCAATGAAATGGAAAGAGGGACCCAATACCTGAAATATATAAGCATTATTAGGCCTACCATTCAAAGTGCACTAAAACACTCTGTATCTATGGTTAAGATGAAATGTTAAAAACATTTCTGTATAAAATTCAAAACAGGATTTTAGAAAATTAAGATTTGATCTAGAGCAAGAAAAAAAAGACAGATAATTAATGCCTTTTCACATTTATTCACAATGTCTTTCATGGCGAAGATTTCTTGCAGTTTTCAATGCAGCACAAAGTAACACATAACGGTAGTGTAGCCTACCTCATTGTGCAGAGAGAGAGAGAGAGAGAGAGAGAGAGAGAGTGAGAGAGACGGTGATAATAGGTTTCATAAAAGACACGTGATGGTACCGACACGTGATGGTACCAATGCAAGGCACGCTCATTACGCAGCACAATTATGCCGATCACGTGCTCTCACGCGAGAATATCATGCCCTACACAAATAAACGTGTGGCAGAAAACATTCATAACCTTTCTGACTAATTCTTGCGATTAAAAAATGCATGCCTCTCTCTGACAGCTCTATAAACGTTCCATGATCCCGAACATTAAATCTAGCTTATCGTCCAATCTTCTTTCTTCCTATTACATAATAGGCCCCTGGAGATAAAGAAGACAAATTTTACATTTGTCACGTTTGTCACTATTACACAATAACATACCGTTTGCGCTAGTGATATAGAAAGAATTCCTCTGACTTGTAGACCTCCCAAATGGCGCCTTCTATGAAGTGACTTCTTGTAGCTTAGCCCAGTGTTTTAAGAAGATTTTTTTTCAACGAAGACAGAATTTGTTCATACCCTGCATTGCTCTGACCAAACACTCTCCTCAGATTAAACTTTTTGTTTCACTGATGGAATCGATTATTTCTCCTTTAGTGTCTTAGTTTGATCTTGTTGTTGTTTTCTTTAGGTGGCAGAAAGTGAGACTGTTCAATAAGCACAGTATAATGAAGAATAAAATGCCCGTTGCCATGGAGATGCAAATAACTTTTATATGTCTGTTGGTGGGAACGCTTAACATAGTGACAGCTACACACGCAGGTAAGATAAAGGCCCCTATAGTCACGTAAGTCGGACGTATTTGTATATGAGGTAATTGTATATGATGTTATTTTAAGTCTTTTGGTGCTTAAATAACAGAATAAAGGTCTTTTGTGTATCAGATGTTTCAGCGTTCTTCTTTTTAGAATGTACATGTTCTTCTCTTTAATTGGCTCTAAATCATTGCTGGTAGTGTCTTGAAGAATTACTGGGCACGGAAACATCGGTCCATAGTTGTTGCTAATATTTGAGGAAGTTCGTGAATTTTGAAACGCATGATTTGTAAATTGTGACCTTGATTTCTTCATGTACCAGGTAACCCGACATGTTTTAGATTACATGTACTTTGTCCCACAGAGGTACTTTAATTAAACCATGAGTGATCGTATTTCTTTATGATTTGTGTCGCTCGTGTTGTTTTTAAAATGTGTAATTAAAGAAGGGGGATATGTGTTTTGAAGCCGCGAATCCAGGGCCCCAATCCAGGGTCATAAGTAGACTCAAATTGATCCCCCTGGAATTGTGGCATTGTCGCACCGGGGTATAAATTTGTACTCACTAGAGCTACTGTCATAAAGTGCTTTGCATGTTCGCGCTCGACGTACGTGACTCGGGCCCAGCCTTGTTAATTGCTACGTAATTATATTTGTTTTGGCGTAAAATATGAATACATGTAATGATAGTAGCCAAGAAAAAAAGTTCAGTTGAAATCAATGAAAATGTAGTGTGTTTGTGAAAATAGCCTATCTAAATGATTTAACTAAACTTAAATAATGAAAATGCATTTTAAAAAGCCCTTGTAGGTGTAATTATTTTTTCAAATATGTTAAAATAATACATTGATTCCTATGCTAGTATTTCCTTCTTGGTACTTTATATTTTTTAATATTTGGTGGAGTACATATAAATGCATTCTTTGGCTTGTTTTTCTTTCCCAGCCTTTGGTACAGAGAGACAGCGCTATGACGGATGGTTTAATAACCTGGCCAACCAGAGATGGGGTACCAGAGGTAAGAATGGACCTGTATAGTCATGTACTAGATGCTAGGTACTCCCATTAATCAGCCTTTATATCATGTGCATTTAGCCTTTTAAATTATCTTTAAATATCCTGAAATTAATGGAAGAAATTACAGGTGGATGGTCTGTCACTTTGGATGCTACTCTTAGTTATAATAAGTAATATACAGCTACCATAAAGGCCCAAGTCAATGACAATGAAACCCACTGACCCACAGTGCAGACCTGCCTTGGCTTATAGTCTCATTATTTGTAGTATGAAACAAATTAATGTTTTCTCAACCTTGGATCTGGTGCTTGTTACTCATGGGTGTCAATGACCCTTTAAAGCTCCTATCTTCTGTACATGCTTCCACAGTGACATAGTATAAGAATGACTAGCAATTAGACGCAGACTTGTCATGAGTAAACAGTACTGAAACATCTGCAAGGACACATAAACAAATTGTTTATGTACACGTATGGTATCACTGTACTGTAGATACACAAGTTGTCCATGTGTACTAGCATCTCTGCTTAATGTTTCAAATTGATACAGAAGTTATGATGTCATTGATGAAGCAGCTCCCTCCCACAGAACTGTCATGATTTCCAATTAAAAGTGGGCAAGAACACGTATACTGTTCAGCCGCATCTCGATCTGCAAAATGTTTAAACTATATTGTTTCTAATATGTTCGACCTAGCAACTCCCTTCCAACTAGCTGACATGTAAAATGCAAAAACACATGGGTAAGAGCACAAATGCATGCCTAAACTTGTGATACATGAACACTGTACCAGTCTTTCTGCAATATGTTTCAGAATGATATAAAAGTTACTGTAATTTTATGATATTTCCGAAAGTTTAAAAATCATTATTAATAAGAATTGTTCTTTGCAGGCTGCCATCTTCTCAATACTGTTCCACAGAGCTATGATGACTACACATACCAACCATCTGGTCAAGGACGTCCTGCCGCCAGGGACATCAGCAATGCTGTCTTCAATGGAAGCAGCGGACTGCCCTCCTACAACAACCTCACAGCCCTCATGGCTTTCTTTGGTAAATTAGAGGTCTCTTTTTTTCTTCCTGAAAATTCAGGATGATGTAGTGATCATGGAAATACCCCCTCTGTGCAATGGTGGTTTGTACAATATAAGCTAACTGTTGACAAACTTGGCCATTCCTATCTCTGAAGTGGTCCTTGTCCCATGAAAAAAGTCAAGGCAAAAGTGGGTGTTGGGCCCATTCCCATAGGCATCTTTGGTCTGTGTAGATCAGTCCAACTCTGCCGTGACTCTAGCTGAGTGCAATTAGCCTTACTGAATGGCACCTCTTCTCCTTTTTTACTGTGATTTGGGCCATGGGTTTACGTATTACATCCTGCAGAGACCTATATTTTGTTATTTTTTAAGGGTGCTGTTTTTGATAATTTTGAAAATTTTTGGAGCACAGAACCTGAATTAAAATAAGATGGAATCAGTCAATGGCTGGGGTATAAAACTATTGTATGCACTCATTTATGAAAAAATATATTTTTGATAAAAAGAATAATTTTTTTGCTTAATGGTTATCAGAAATTTGAGAACTTTTTCACTGCATAGGCTAAGAAAAAATAATGAAAATGCTTAAGTGATGCCAGAATGGTGTATGTATTTATCTTTGTGTCATATTCCAGGTCAGTTAGTCACCTACGAGATCACCTATTCTTCAATGCCAACATGTCCAGTTGAATTGGTCAAAGTTCCTATTCCAAAGTGTGACCAAGATTTTGATCCCAAGTGCTCTGGAAGAGAGATGATGCCGTTTTATAGAGCTGCATACGATAAAAGGACAGGAAGATCCCCTAATAATCCAAGAAAACAGGTAGTAAATTGAGAACGTGTTATGCAAGACAGTCTAAATTTTTTAATTATTTGATACATGGCAAAGCAATGTTGATGGGTTCAGGCTTTTACAAACTGTGGCATTCAGCAATTGAAAGTACCAAATGAACCCATTTCTGGTGTAGTGATGTTTGTTAATGTCTAATTAAGTAAAGCACAAGTTTTTCTGCATCTGTTATTTATGTCACCTGGTCATGTAGCATTACAATTTGTAATTGCCACCAATAAGAAATGGAAACTTCTCATTTACACTTCTCATTTACTTCACAGATTAATGAAGTTACCAGCTGGATTGATGGCAGCTTTCTCTATGGCACACAAGAGGTATGGGCTAACTGTCTGAGGGCCATGCACGATGGACGCCTCAAGTCAGTCAATGGGAGCAGGGAGGAAGAGTTCCCAGCAATGAATCATATTCGTCTTCCTCTAGATAACTTCCCTAGTCCACACAAACACAAACTAAGTGATCCCGAGACTAAGTGGAGTAAGTGGTGTATTGAACTTCTTTTTTCTTGGGTTGTTGTTTAAGTGTGTGTGTGTTAATTTGCTAAGTTATTAATTTATGTATTGATGTATCTTAATAGTTAATTTTTCCCCTTTTTAAATTTACACGGCTGGTTTTTTAGTAATCTTTTAAAAATCTATTTTAATTGCTATTTTTTCCCTTTTCTTTTAAAATTTACATTGCTAATGAAACTTTGTGGTGTTTTTGTCATATTTTAATCGTGTTGTTTTCATCATTTCCAGTGTTTGGTCATCCTCGTACCCATGTGCACCCTGGTCTCACAGCGCTAGGAATAGTGTGGTTTCGTTGGCACAATTACATGGCGGATCGTGTCACCAGCATGATGAATACCACCTGGGCTGATGAAGTAATGTTTCACAAGACAAGGCGATGGGTAATCGCAACAATGCAGGTAGGTTCCTTACTAGCACTTTCCATTTTTATTTGTGTGTGTGTGTGCGTGTGTGTGTGTGTGCATGTGTGTGTGTGTGCATGTGTGTGTGCGTGTGTATGTGTGTTTGTACTAGTAATGAAATTCTATATACATCTTTAAAATGTTAAATTTTAGTGGTAAAATATATTATGCACAGAGGGCCATTTTATTGGTAGGGAATTGTAGAGAGTGAAATTTGGTTTCAAAAGTTACCTAGCTTGTATGAACCAAGTTTTTTTATCTTTATACACAGTATGAATGTGCTGCACATGGCATATGGACCTTTTTGTTGCTTGTAAAGGTCCATTATTGACCTGTTGTGACATGATTCCATTACAAGTGCTTACAGATATTTTTTCATATCTTTGGATAGTGAAAAATTATGGTTGTTTTAAACCTAGACAAAAATCTTCTGAGAATTTTTTTCGTGGGTTTTAGATGGTATTTTGGGTCATCCAAATTGAACAATTTGTTGTGAGGCACTATTAAAGTAAGGCGATCCAGGCCATTGACCTTTATAAGACAAACTCTGAGCTTGTCTATCAACTTCTAATAGCATTAACAAATTGGCTTAAAAGGACTGACATCTAGAAAATTAATATTTATAACCTATTATGATAAAAGATACAGGTACTGGACATTGCACATCACAGCACATGCAATTCAACCTGAAGTGTTTTGTTTTGTTGATGATTATGGTGCAGTCAAATTTGACCTTATGATGTACTGCAGTTTTTAAAGAATATTTTTGAGGAGTTTGTTTTACATGAAGCGAATAGTTAATGTGACAGTCATGAATTATTTTACAGAAAAAACAGTAGGTCATCTTCAGACTCTTCTGTTTGGGGGATCATTGCAGACTTTTTTTTGCTCTGTAATATCTTTTTTTCCCACAATTACACACTAGTATTTTTTACCATGTAATTTTTTTTTCCTCTGTAATATCTTTTTTTCCCCTAAAAAAAAGGCAACTTTTGCCTGCTTACCAGTCATCGCTCAACCTGTCTTTGCACTTGGATGTTTTATTCCATTTTTATTTTAATGGTTGAGTTTTTAATGACTGTCATTTCATCGTCTTCCTGTATATTCAGAAAGAACTATTGCTGTCAGCTATTTAAACTTTTTTAAAAAGTTTTTTAGGACTGAATTGAGAAAGATAAGCAGTTTTGCAGGATATTTAGACATAGAAAATATGACTTCGGGTAATTTTCAAATGAGTACAGTGTGCCTTTAATTCTGAAATTCTCACATACTATCTGTTGCTTTTTTACCTATCTTTAACACACTTTGACCATTAAATCTAACTTGTGCTAAACATCCTATTACATTTGATCAGTGTACAGTACCAAAATGTAAATTAGTGCTCAAAACATTAGAAATTTATCTATATCAAATCCAAAGGTTTGAAACTTAAAAAATGAGAGATAATGATAAGGAATCTCATACATTTCTCACCGACAGTCAACCATTATTTTTCAATATGCACTGAAATATATCATTTCCCACCCATTTTATTGCAGGTGTGACCGACAAACCCAGGTCACCTGATGACCACTGCTGGACTGACAGGGAATGACCCTCTCTGGTCAGTATGCCTGCTAATCGTAATTTTTTTATTTCTGTTTTTTAGAACATAATTATGTATGAGTGGTTGCCAACACTGTTGAATGAGAAGATTCCAGAGTACACAGGTAAGTGAAGATGTTGTGTATCTTTATTGTGTATTATTATTTTACAGAAATATGTTTGCATGATGATAATAAAGCGTTTGTCATTATTTCACGGTAATAGTCTCTACTGTGACAGTAAAAATTAGATATCCAAGTGCAGAAGAATATTTAGGATGGATTAGTTGTGAGAAAAAACTAATGATATGAGGCAAGTTTAATTTACACACACTTGAAAAACATCAAATTTAAACTTAAATAACATCTTGACACAATATGAAGAAAGCTTACATGAAAACAAAAATTCTTTTTTATCAAAATACTTGTATTTATAATATTTGGTCTTCCTGAATTTGAAAAATACATTTAAATGTTGTTTTCCCCACTAACCCTTCAATGCATGTACCCGTGTTAAAGCTTTTATCATAAAATCTACTTAAAAAAAACACTACTGAACAGTTAAAGGTTTTATCTATTACATAGATGACAAAGGATGACAAGAGGTAATTTCCAGAGTTAATCATCCCTGGTGACAGATAAGAAAAATGACCTACAATTTGATGCAATTGTAATTTGCAGAACAAGTTCACCTCTGTCTTGTAAATGCTTCTTTTCCATGATGTTACCCCACTGGCTTTGAGGTTTTGATTCTTTGTTACGGCTACTTGAGTAGAAATGAATGATGATTGTTTTTATGTCTGTCCTGCCCCTCTCCGCCCCTTTATTACTGTGGTTAATAAGCTCAATTTTTTAAACTCAGATTATGTCAAAGATAACAGCTTGCAAGATGGTTTCTCATGCTTGTACTGGGAGAAGCTTTTTTCCCCATAGGGTCATATTTTTAAAAAATCGTTGTCTTTAAGAGGAACTGTAACTTTTAAATAGAAGGAAATAGGAGAGCACCATACAAGAATGATTAATTAGCAATTTATTTTTGAAAGTGAAACAGAAGGTTAATGTTTGTAAGTGTCAACTTGGATTCCCCCCCCCCCCACACACACACACACACACAAACACATACACGCAGTGTTCACTTTTACCATTATCTTTTGACTGCTTTCCGATAATTGTTTCAACGATGGAACTTGGAGCAAAACTGATCTCCTGCTTGAAGTAATCAGTTATAATTTCTCCTTGTCCTTTGATTTTACTGATCTTTTCTTGATTAGATAATTGCATAAATGGGTGATACCGTTACGTGCATGAAGATAAGGATACAGTTATATCTCTTGTCATGTAACAGACATATAAACGAGATCTCATGTAATGAGTCAGATGTTTTTTTTCTTTCATGCATGAAGTATAAAATTAGTTTTTCAACAGCCCTTGTGTGAGTTAAAGCTTTTTTTTTTCTCTTTTATCAAATTCTTTTCTCAGTAATCTCTACTATCATAGCATGCCAATATCAATCAGTGATGGTGATTCAAATGGAATGATAAAATGGGATTCTTAACACCATTTACTTTGACTGCAGTAACTTAGTGCCACATGTACCAGTCTCCGAATACAAGATCTTGTCAGGTGCTTCTTAGATCTCTCACCTGGTACAATCAAAAGAAAAAAGATTGAGATGATAGCGAGAAGATTCAATGTCTTTTACAATAGATGCACTGTTTCGATGTTTTACTGCATGCAATAGATTCATATTAAGACGTGTCGATGTTGAAATGACAATCTAGACTTAATACCTGACCAGTTTTTACTGTGATTTTATTGAGAGTTGCCATGCAAGGTGCTTGGTCTTGATTGAATTTTTAGGATAATTGGGATTGAACTTGTGACTTTTATATGTATTTTTTGATTTTTTTACTAAAATTTGGAGTCTCTGTAGAAAGTTGGCATTAGTTTTATCAATACTTTACAAATAAGGCATTGTTCAGCCCTGGTTATTGCCTACATATATCTTCATCCACTGTCTGTAAAGCAAGTTTAATTTTTTTCTCCTTATGAAAAAAAAAAAAAAAAAAACAGGTTCATAATGCCAAAGTCAAGAACTGTCTTTATTTAAAAACTTTTATCTCTGGAGCTCGTCAAACTTTTTTTAGATGAAAATGATTTTGTTAAATTAAATGTAAGATGATTTTTAACTTTAGCTTATCCTTTTTATATTTAGCTTTCATGTGCCACAATGAGTTTAAGGAACCTTCAGTTGGTACTCCTTATCTATAACTCTCATATAAACTTTCATATATTTTTACCAATAATTTACTATATATTTCATGTTGTTTTACATTTTAATAGTTTTTTTTTTTATTTTGGCATTCAGGCAGTTTTTATTTTATTTTTTTTTTTTTTGTGACCGGACAAATTTACAAACTGAGGAATAATTCCAAGTAATGTTTATTTTACTTCATTTTTTTGCATTTTTGCAGGTTATAAGAACTACATCCAGCCAGGAGTCACAGCTGCCTTTCATGCTGCAGCCAGCAGATACCTAATCACACTTATACCTCCAGGCTTATATAGAAGGTAAGACAAGGTCCTTATACCTCCAGGCTTATATTTAAGTAATGACAAGGTCCTAATACCTCCAGGCTTATATAGAAGTTAACACAAGGTCCTAATACCTCCAGGCTTATCTAGAAGGTAATACATGTACAAGGTCTTTATACCTCCAGGCTTATATAGAAGGTAAGACGGGTATGATTATATCCCCAGGCTTATATAGCAGGTAAGACAAGGTCCTAATACCTTTAGGTTATATAAAAGGTTTGATAAAGGCCTTATCTGTGGAGCATTTTTAAGTTAATATTAAAAAGTACAACAGAGTGGAGCCCATTTGTAAAACTTGTTTGTAAAAAACTGGAAATAAATGCAGCTTCCTTTGTATAGTTTGGCCAGTTTTGATCAAGCATTATAACTTTTTTGTGCATACACACAGCCATGCACAAACTAACACATTTCAGAAATAAGGATGTTGAAAAATTAGTAACTAAAATTTTATTTCTAGGAATGATCAGTGTGAGTTCAACAAAGGCGGTAACTTCACAAAGCCCTGGAGGCTGTGTAACTCGTACTTTGAGTCTCAGGTAAAGAATGCTCATGGTCATAACTTTGAAGGTGCACAGCTTCTTGTTTGCTGCATTTAGCATTACATGATATTTATCTTAATTTGAGCAATTGGATCATGTTTGGTGTCATTTGGTTGTGTAACCTGGAAAATATTGCATATGTTTAAATTTTCCTTGGATACAAAGTAAAAAAAATTAATTTTCTTTGCCCCTTACGATTAAACTAACACTTCTCCCCCCCCCCCCCCCCAAATGAAATGCTTTGTCATATATTTTCTAGTACTTACAATACTTAGAAGCTACATTACTGTTAGACATAAAGAGGATGCCAGAGATATGGTAGGTATTTATGTAAGTCTAGAAAATTGACATTTCTTCAGGATCTTTTGGAGAGTTACAAGGGTGCACTTGACGAGCTGTTAATGGGAATGGCGTCTCAGATAGCAGAGCGCGAAGACACAGTTGTGGTGGATGATGTAAGAGGTACTGATACAGGGGGTCCATAACCAGGTTATATCCTCTCCTCTCAGTTATTTTTTATATGCTGAATGTTACATTAATAACAACACACATCTGTGGCCAGTCATGCAACTTTGTACCGTGAGATCTGTGAGTGTTCGTAGAACCTACTAGTAGTTCAAATTTTGATCAGGGCATATTCTCTCCCCTCTTCTGAATAAGGTACTATGACTTACTGCCTTCTGGCAAATTGTAATGATTCTTTATAGACAGTTAATTATAAAGTATTGAGCCTGCTTAGTTTATAATTCCATCATCGTTCAAAAATTTAGGGAATTATTGCATATGGTCACAGAGATTTCTCCTGTGAGGAAATTCATTGTAGGAGAAACTTGGCAAAAATTAACAACAAGCATTTTAAGGAAACAATAGAGACAGGGCAGATTTCTATTTCACTCATGTTCTTTGTTGTGCACTGTCATCGGAAGTCTAATATTTATTAAAAGGTTATGAATATAGAGGAGAGCTGATGACTAGAATTTGATTTCTGTAGGATTTGGCACAAGGGCGAATAAAACTGACAAATTCAAATACACTTCCAGATAAAAGTCCAGGTCCACTGCACTTCTCTCGCCATGACGTGGTGGTCCAGACCATCATGAGAGGAAGGGACTTTGGACTGGGGAACTATAACTCGGCCAGGAGGGCCTTTGGTCTTGAAGAGGTGGACACATGGGATGCCCTGGAAAGCCTGGTCAACACTACCACAGGCGAAGAGGAAAAAACAGTGGAACAGGTGATACCACCATAGGCAGATCCAGATATACTTCTGACAGTCTTCCAAATTATCTTTGTTGATCCGTCCTCAGTTTTTGGCCGTCTTCCGACAGAAAAAAAATTAGATGTCCATCAATGTAAACTTGAAAAATTCTTACCGTCTTCAAGAAGACACAGAAGATGGTTTCTGTCTGCCCCTGTATCACTGATGTAGATTTGATAGCATAACAATAATTTATAATTTAGTTACTGCATGTGATAGTTTTTGAAAGACTGTGTTAAAAATAGAATTATAGGAGTAGCCAAATTTAGTTCGAGTTAAAGGTATCCTATATTGGATTTTCACACTAAATCTGATTTTCTGTGTTGAGATTAGTTTAATTTTTTTTTTACTTTGGATCATATTTTGAGTGGCCTGTCTTTGCACACGCATGCAATGTTTTATGCAATTTCTAAAAGAATCCTGACTTATTTAGACCCCCATAGTCTTTCTGGCATTTCAAAAATAAATATCAACATATATCATCATTTCATAAATGATCCACTTAAAAGTAATACGGTAAAGTCTTGAAAATTTCGTNAGGGGAGTCAGATTTTCATGGTACACCGGACCAGTTTTTACTGTGATTTTATTGAGAGTGGCCATGCAAGGTGTTTGGTCTTGATTGAATTTTTAAGATAATTGGGATTAAACTTGTGACTTTTATATGTATTTTTTGATGTTTTTACTAAAATTTGAGTCTCTGTAGAAAGTTGGCATCAGTTTTATCAATACTTTACAAATAAGGCATTGTTCAGCCCTGGTTATTGCCTACATATATCTTCATCCACTGTCTGTAAAGCAAGTTTAATTTTTTTCTCCTTATGAAAAAAAAAAAACAGGTTCATAATGCCAAAGTCAAGAACTGTCTTTATTTAAAAACTTTTATCTCTGGAGCTCTTCAAACTTTTTTTAGATAAAAATGATTTTGTTAAATTTTTTTTTAGATAAAAATGATTTTGTTAAATTAAATGTAAGATGATTTTTAACTTTAGCTTATCCTTTTGATATTTAGCTTTCATGTGCCACAGTGAGTTTAAGGAACCTTCAGTTGGTACTCCTTATCTATAACTCTCATATAAATTTTCATATATTTTTACCAATAATTTACTATATATTTCATGTTGTTTTACATTTTAATAGTTTTTTTTTTATTTTGGCATTCAGGCAGTTTTTATTTTTATTTTTTTTTTTCTTTTGTGACCGGACAAATTTACAAACTGAGGAATAATTCCAAGTAATGTTTATTTTACTTCATTTTTTTGCATTTTTGCAGGTTATAAGAACTATATCCAGCCAGGAGTTACAGCTGCCTTTCATGCTGCAGCCAGCAGATACCTAATTACACTTATACCTCCAGGCTTATATAGAAGGTAAGACAAGGTCTTTCTACCCCCAGGCTAATATAGAAGGTGTAACAAGGTCCTTATACCTCCAGTCTTATATAGGAGGTAATACATGTACAAGGTCTTTATACCTCCAGGCGTACATTTAAGTTAAGCCAAGGTCCTAATACTTCCAGGTTAATATATAAGGTACAATAAAGTCCTTATCTGTGGAGCATTTTTAAGTTAATAAAATATTAAAAAGTACAACAGACTGGAGCCCATTTTTAAAACTAATCTTGTTTGTTAAAATCTGGAAACAAATTCAGCTTTCTTTGATAGTTTTGTATAGTTATGCCAGTTTTGATCAATAACTGTTGTCTGTACTCACACAGGCATGCGCAAACTGACACATTTCAAAAATAAGAATGTTGCAAAATTAGTAATTAAAATTTTATTTCTAGGAATGATCAGTGTGAGTTCAACAAAGGAGGCAACTTTACAAAGCCCTGGAGGCTGTGTAACTCGTACTTTGAGTCCCAGGTAAAGAATGCTCATGGTTGAAGGTGCACAGCTTCTTGTTTGCTGCATTTTGCATTACATGATATTTATCTTAATTTGAGCAATTGGATCATGTTTGGTGTCATTTGGTTGTGTAACCTGGAAAATATTGCATATGTTTAAATTTTCCTTGGATACAAAGTAAAAAATTTTAATTTTCTAAATTTCTTTGCCCCTTACGATTAAACTAATACTTCTCCCCCCCCCCAAATGAAATGCTTTGTCATATATTTTCTGGTACTTGCAATACTTAGAAGCTACATTACTGTTAGACATAAAGAGGATGCCAGAGATATGGTAGGTATTTATGTAAGTCTAGAAAATTGACATTTCTTCAGGATCTGTTGGAGAGTTACCATGGGGCACTTGACGAGCTATTAATGGGAATGGCGTCTCAGATTGCAGAACGTGAAGACACAGTTGTGGTGGATGACGTAAGAGGTACTGGTACAGGGGGTTCTTAACTGCAGGTTATATCCTCCCCCCTGGTTATTTGTTGAATGCTGATTGTTAATGTCACTGTAGTGACAACACACATCTCTGTAGCCAGTCACGCAGCCATATGAGACCTATGTGTGTTCTTATATTTAGAAACTACTAGTAGTTCAAATTTTGATCAGGGCTTTGTAGATGATTGATAATTAAAAGCAGTTGGAAAATTGTAAATGGTTCTCCACTAAGACTTTTTTAGACAGTTTATTCTAAAGTCATGAGCCTGCCTGGTTTTTAGCTCCATCAGTTAAAATATTTTAATTCAGGGAATTATGTTCACAGCAGGGGAGATTTATCCTGTGAGGAAATTCATTGTAGGAGAAACTTATCAAAAATTAACAACAATTTAAACATTTTAAAGAAAAAATAGAGATGGGTTAAATTTCAGTTTCACTCAATGAATGTTTTTTTTCTTGTACTGTCATCAAAAATCTGATATTTATCAGTCAGGTATGCAGGAGGCCTGATGAATCCCATTTGATCTCTATTGGATTTGGTACGAGATTTAATAATAAAAACTGACAAATTCAAATACACTTCCAGATAAAAGTCCAGGTCCGCTGCACTTCTCTCGCCATGACTTGGTGGTCCAGACCATCATGAGGGGAAGGGACTTTGGACTGGGGAACTATAACTCGGCCAGGAGGGCCTTTGGCCTTGAGGAGGTGGACACATGGGATGCCCTGGAACGTCTGGTCAATACTACCACAAACGAAGAGAATAAAACAGTGCAAGAGGTGATGTCACCATAGGCAGATCCAGATATACTACTGACAGACTTCCAAATTATCTTTGTTGATCCATCCTCCATTTTTGACCGTCTTCCAACAGAAAAAATTAGATGCCTGTCAATGTAAACTTGAAAAATTCTCACTGTCTTCTGGAAAACACAGAAGATGGTTTCTGTCCGCCCCTGAATCACTGATGTAGATTTGATAGCATATAACAGTAATTGATAACTTAGTTACTATATGCGATATTTTTTCAAACAACTGTCATGACTAAAACAGGAGTTGCTACAGGAAGTCTGATTTAAAGGTATCCTATATGGGATTTTCTTACTATATTTGATTTTCCTTGTAGAGATAAACTTAATGCAGTTTTTATCTACTTGGGACCATATTTTGTACTTGCATTCAATGTTTTATGCAATTTCTAAAAGAGTCCTGACTTATATTTATACCACCATGGTCTCTCTGGCATTTATAAACATATATCGTCATTTCATAAATGGTCCACTTAAAAGTAATATTATTGAAAATCAGTAATATACTGCTCACTGCAATTCTGTCATTTTCCATACTTTCAGACTGTTGAAAAACTGCGCAATGTGTACAATGACAGTATGGAGCATTTGGATGTCTTTGCTGGGGGTATGGCAGAAACCGGCAGAAATGGCCCTGGACCACTGTTCCGTGAAATTCTTCTTGACCAGTTTCTCCGTATCAGAGATGCAGACAGATACTGGTTTGAGAATAAACAAAACGGGTAAATATTTACAAGCTCACCACTGGTGCTATGCAATATTATATCTTGCATGTATAATATTAATAGTATTCTATTACTGACAGTAACTATAATTGTGGCCTATTGTAGTTGATAATTGTTGAAAAAAACTATAGTTTGTTTGGGGGGAATAATGTGGTAATTAAAATTGTCCAGGTCTTCAAGAATCTTTCATGTATTGAGTGCGTGTAATTGTCTTGTTTTTTATATGAATTTATTAAATAAGTATTATATATAAATATGAAAACACACTATAAGTAAGCTCCTGATCAGTCAAGGAAGTAATTGCTTGCTATATTTCAAAATTTCCTATACGAAATACTTAAAAAACTTACAGTTTCATTCATTGAAAATTGTATAATTGATATGCAAGTAATTAGAAAATCTAATAAAATGCTGTAAAATCAATTTGTGTGTTCTGTTCTAGGCTGTTCACAGATGAAGAGATTGCCCAGATAAAGAGTATTAAGTTTGCCGACATCATCACCAACGTGACAAACATTCAGCCAGATTGGTTGCAAAGAGATGTTTTCTTAAGGCAACAAGGTAACAGGTTCACAACTAAACTTAACTCCATGAAAATGGGCAGAAATAACTTTTTTAAAAGAACAAAATGAATGATATTCAGTGCCATTGTGAGCCCCTGTGCATACATGATCACAAAGTCTGATGGAATTTTTACAAGTAATGTGTTAACATTTTTTTAAACATACATAAAAGCAACTAATATTGTAAGCTGCTGCAGTATAACTTGCCTGAATTTTGCTTTCTGAATTTGCTTGTACTTAATTTATCAATCATTGATTCATAATCACATAATTATAATCAATTAATTAATTAACATATTCTATCATTACAGGGGACCCATGTCCTCAAGAGAAGCAGCTGGTGATAGAGGATATGGAACCATGTACAGATCTCCAGGGCTGGGACTACTTTGCTGGCAGTGAGCTCTGGTTTATAGGGAGTCTTGTGGTACTGGGACTGGTGCCATTCTGTGAGTAAACTAGGGGTGTCACCGATAATGTGTCACCATTCTGTGAGTAGCCAAGGGGTGTCACCACTAAAATTTCACCATTCTGTGGGTAACCTAGGGGTGTCACCACTAAGCTGTCACCATTCTGTGAGGGACAAGCAGGCTTCTGTAAGATAGCCAAATCGTATTGAGAAAAGGAGTCAAAACTAGGCCCAGTGTGTCTTAGTCTTCTAGATCTTTTGTAAGATTTTCATAATTTAATTTTCTTAAAAGACATTTAATAGCATAAAAATATGAGACTTATTTGAGCTTTGAGTATTCTTTGAGTGGTATCTTAACCATAGGCACTTGCTCTCTTACTATTTTAATTATTTTCCAGTCTGCATCTTGGTGGCCTACCTCATATACAGAGTGAAGAAGTTTAGGACAAAGAGAGTGAAGAGAACTCTGCACATGGACAAGTTACGGTCCATGGTGAGAGCCAATGCTGGAAACATAGCAGGTAGGTATTTACATTTATATTTTACTGCCTCATGCCCCGGCCACAGCCATTGTATAAGGTATTTTTATTAGCTTTATCTTGAAAGAAGTAAATGCACACTTTTTCCCCTTTCAGCTACTGAGTGGACAGATCCTAAAGACCTTCCTCGTAGCATTGAGCTACATTTCGATGACATGACATGTGGACTGCTAGTCTTAACAGCTAGTGGGACGAAAATACGCCATTTAGACTTCTCAATGTCTGAAGAAGTTAACGTCTGGCTCAGCATGAACCGTGGGAAAGAAACAATGCTTATTCAAATCCCTAATGAATATGATCTGGTATGTGTAAATGTAACCGTAAAGTTTGTGTAACATGCTGAAGCGCATGGAAATGAACTGATATACTTCATTTAGCCAGCCATGTAAAATGAAAAGAAATTGCAAGTTGTTAAAAACACTTCACACATGCATTTACCATGTTAAAATGTGATCATATTAAAGGGATAATAACTCTTCGTATGATATCTATATTTCACAATAAAAACATTGTGAACAACTCATAGAAATATAATATATTCAGTTTTACCACAAAAACGGCAGTTATAGCTATTATTTTGATATCTAAGCTTGTCTTCAGATCACGTGACCTCCATTGATGGCTGTACTCAGTTATAATCTCTTAAGAGATTTTAACAAAAAACCAACTTTTTAGAAAAAAACCAGGGACTAACTTTGAATGTAAAAATGGATTTATTAACCATTGGTAAGTATGGGAAAATTGTTGTTTACTCCAGGAAAATTCATTTTTTGGCCAAAACGAAGAGTTATTATCCCTTTAACAGACATTGAAAAATGTGCCAGTAAGTTTGGAAATAGTTTCAGAAAACAAAAGTGTGTACATTAATGCAAATCAGTTATGTTTAACAATGTTCATGATTTTATTATGATAATAGGTTGTGATGTTCGACGATGAAGAAGACAGAATGGAATTCCTGAGAAAATTTAAAAGCTACCTGAATGACTTCAATAAGAATTTACAGTTTTTTCATGACAAGCAGCAGAATATACTAGAAAATGCAGTCACTAAGAGGAAGAGGCAGCAGTTACTGGAGCGTTTCTTTAAGACTGTCTTTGCAGAGGTAATTATCATCATGGCATCATGATTATTATTGAATGCTTACAATTGTGACTGATATAAACTGATTGCTTATTATATAGTAAGTTTCTGCTTTTAATGTAGGTCGCAACTTAAATTTTTTTTTTCTAAAAGGCAAATCTGATGAAGCACTGCATGGTGAGATAAGCTTCTTTTCCAATAATTTGTTTGATACATGTATACTAAAGTAACCCATTGCAATAAGTAAATAAAATTAAATGAATCCAATGGACTATTACTTAAAGGGAATGAAAGGCAACCCATGAAACATTGTTTTACAGCTTATTATCATATTCCATTGACTTGGTTCACACCAACATATGTAATCATTGATTGTGAACCCTTGTCCTTATCTATGCTGCAGGCTCTTACTTTGGATCATCAACCAAGAATGGAGACTGAGGCAATAGAACAAGGAACAGCCAAGGAAATTCTCAACCTGGAGCTTTCTAAGGTATAACACCTGAATCCAGATTGATGTTGGTAAAAAAGTTAATTGTTTCTTAAGAGACCTATTGTGTTTTAACGTATAGGAGGCATGTTGTGATGACTCTTAATTCATCTGTGGCCTTCAACCGACATGAACATGACCCATTGATCACAAGACTGAAGGGTCTTTATGAGCTAGGGAACAATTTGCTTTTTACCATCAGTAGAAAATAAAATCTCTAGTTCACCACATTTTAATGCTCTCTAAGCTTTCCCTCAAGATTTTTATTTATTTATTTATTTATTTATTTATTTATTTGTTTGGTTTTTCAGGCCGAGTTTGCAGAGGCCCTAGCACTGAAACCATCTTCACTATTTGTGGAGCAGTTTTTCTCTATGCTGGACAAGGATCAGAATGGATACATCTCCTTCAGGGAGTTTCTATATGCTGTGGTTCTCTTCTCCAAAGGTAAAAATTAAATTTATCTTGAATCAAAAATAATTATAACTCAATCCCATATGAATCAATAAATGAAACATTGGATCAAAAAGTAAATTGATTTTAAATTATATTGGAAGGATAAATAATTATAAAATCTATAATGGAATGATAGGTACTTTAAGCAGTTATTAAATATTTGAATAGATATATATTAAGAAGTTGAATGTTAGTAAAAGCAAAATATATTTCACCTCTGTAGTGGAATGGGTATTATTGAACTTTTGTTGAATATTTGATCATTATCTTGCACTGTATATTTCAGGATCCTGTGAAGACAAACTTCACATGCTGTTCAGGATGTATGATCTCAACCACAGTGGCTCTCTGAATAAAGAAGAAATTGCAGCTTTACTGAGGTTGGACTTTGTTGTTTTTGTTGTTGTTGTTCAAATTCCCATGCTAAATAGGAACAAAATTGACTGAGAGGCAAATTTCCTAAAAAAAATTTGTTTGTTTGTTTTTAGAGTGTACTTATACTAGCTGTACTTGAAGAAGGTAATAGAAAAATTTTAGGTTTAGATTTTTTTTGCACTGACTAACTTTAATGATATAGACTAATACTTTATTTAAAAAGGATTCAGCAAAATTAGAATGTTTTATCCAGGTCTCTGCTAGAAATGGCCAACACTGACCTGACAGCAGACGAGGTAGATAAACTGACGGAGACCATGTTTGTCAACTCTGGCCTGGAAGGGAAAGGATCACTCCGATTTGAGGAATTTCAACAACTGCTAGCAGACGACATGACAAAGTTGTGGGATGTCTGCATAGATTGGAAGGGTGAGAGGGTTAAATAATGTTTTCAAGACGATGAAAATAAACTCTTATTCATTAAGTAAATCTAATAGCTACAGATAATATTATAATTATTGGAGTGTGATTTCTTGAAACAATTGATGTAGAAACTTTTTTTAGTCTGAACTGCTGAATATTCAAAACTGAACTTTGTGGATAGTTTAGAAGACTGGATACAGCATAAATGTTTATTTTTTTTTCACTTGGTGACAGAGCAGTAACTAACATTGCTTCCACTGAAATTGTTTCAGGCACTAAAGTTTGCTTCCCAAAGAAAAGAAGGTAAGGTTTGCCATTGAGATTATTGTTTTGAACAGACGAAAAAATGACACATAAATACACCCAGCCTGTAATTTAAACAGTAGTTCATGATACAAACTTAGATCAATATAATGTGCAGTGATAAATTTCATGAGTAGTTTAGGTCATGCATCTTAATTATCTAGCAGCCCTTATGAGTATATTAAGTTTACATAATGCTGTTGGCTAATATTGGAGTGGATGAGAAAGCATTTTCCAAGAGTAACAGCAAGCATTATATTTTTAGACCAAAATACAATGAATGCACTATTAAAGCATATAAATTTTTTTAATCATATTATACTCATTTTATTTATTTATTTATTTATTTATTTATTTATTTATTTATTTATTGTAGTAATGTTGACAAGGAGAAGGTAAAATTTGGCAACACGGGTCAAGATGCCTTTGGTGCCACACGAGAGAAATACCACCCCATCGGAGCCAAGATGAAGAACGTTTTACACTTCATTGAAAACAACAGGCAGCACATCTTTTATCTCATCATCTTCTATGGCATTTGCATTGGGCTGTTTTCTGAGAGGTTTTATAGTAAGTGGCTCCAGGGAACAAAATGTACAGCTGTGTACTGTTGATAATGAACAATGGCTGGAGTATATGTTATGCACAGCAGGCACTTTAGAAAATTGGTCGAGTTAGGTTGTACATTGGTATAAAAATATGATTTATAAGAAACTTCAGATCATTTTGATCATTACGTGTTTGTCACCATCTTGATCTGATAAATTATATAAATATTTTTCATTAAAATGTTTTTTTTTTTTCCTTTTCCAGCCTATTCAGTGGAGAAAGAACACTTTGGACTTCGCCGTATTGCCAGTTATGGTGTCCCGGTATCTCGGGGCTCTGCTGCCGCTTTGACCTTCTGCTATTCCTTGATTCTTCTGACAGTGTGTCGTAATCTGATCACAAGGTTACGCGAGACTTTTCTCAATCTCTACATCCCCTTTGATTCCAATGTGGCCTTTCACAAGGTCATTGCTTGGACGGCTCTCTTCTTTACATGTAAGTACGTGAGTTCAGGCTGGGACAGTTTTGGAGCAGAAATTTGGGTCACTGGAGAGACCCCGCTGCACTTATGACATCTTATAAGTTTATGCCTGGTGGCACATAAGCAGTTTAAGTGTCTGATTCTGTGCATGCATTTTTGATGATTTTACAACTGAAGCAGACCTGAAGTATGGTGCTAAATCTTTGCATGCTGACCAACAAGCTGTTAAACACGAGGCTTAATTAGTACTAATCTATAAGACATGGCCTGAAATAGTTTTTGGTAGTTAACAAACACAAATGAACTACAGTATTGAATTTGGATAGAATATTATCAAAGACATGAAAGAATTTGATTTTCAACATACCCTAACATTATATTTGTAATTTACTATCAGTGCTACCCATTTGATTCAAAATCCAAAATGGTTGCCAAAAGTATTACCATGTTTATAGTGTGCCCTGCTCATATACTTACAGGTAATATCTGAATGAATTCGTTTTCACACACATTCACATTAGTACATCATTTGTTTTCATATTCTTTTGATTTCATTCTGCGTGATTATTTATTTCAGTGGCACATGTAGTGGGGCACGCCCTCAACTTCTACCACATCTCCACACAGCCTGTCCAGCATCTCTGCATCTTTGATGAAATCTTCTTCAAGTTAGTAAACTGTGGTGATTAATTAATAATTCTTTGAGAAGAAAGTTGATTATAAATTAGAACTTAAATATAAAAGATATTTATATGACAATATGTTAACACTGTTGATATACTTAGTTTGTTATAGTACATTATATCAGGGATTACATTTTGCTAAGAGTTTACAGTTACTCATCATTTACAATACTGAGGACAAAGTGAAATATAGTGACTGGAATTGTATCGCTTTCTAAATTTGAATTGAATGTTATTAGATAAATGCAGATTTCATTTTTACAGTCAGTGTGGTAAAATTATGTGGCATGCATAATTTGGAAACAAAAATATGCCTTTCTTAGCTTGTACTAGTATCTTATGTAGAAACGTGCGTCATATCCAAAGTCATGGATGAAGGTTAAAATATCATGTCTTTTATTGATAAAAAATATATTTAGACTCTTCAAAAATTCTTTATTTTTCTGACCAGTATTGTGCACTTTTTTAGGTCGGAGTATCTGCCAACTTTTGCATGGTGGCTGTTGGGAACTCTAACTGGTATGTTTTGATGTATTAATTTAATGATTTGATTTTTTTTTTTTTTTTTTTTTTTTTGGGGGGGGGGGTTGTTGTACAGGTCAATTTCCATATATAGTAAAAGTAGACTGCATAACTCCTTGCACTGTATTTACCTCAAACATATCTCGNCTGATCCTCTAGTTATTGAATGCTTACAATTGTGATTGATATAACCTGATTGCTTATTATAAAGTAAGTTTCTGCTTTTAATGTAGGTCGCAACCTTAAATTTTTTTTTTCTAAAAGGCAAATCTGATGAAGCACTGCATGGTGGGATAAGCTTCTTTTCCAATATTTTGTTTGATACATGTATACTAAAGTAACCCATTGCAATAAGTAAATAAAATGAAATGAATCCAATGGACTGTTACTTGAAGGGAATGAAAGGCAGCCCATTGTTTTAAAGCTTATCATCATATTCCATTGACTTGGTTCACACCAATATATGTTATAATTGATTGTGAACCCTTGTCCTTATCTATGCTGCAGGCTCTTACTTTGGATCATCAACCAAGAATGGAGACTGAGGCGATAGAACAAGGAACAGCCAAGGAAATTCTTAATCTGGAGCTTTCTAAGGTATAACACTTGAATCCAGATTGATCCACGTTGATGTTGGTAAAAAAATTAATTGTTTCTTAAGAGACCTATTGTGTTTTAACTTATAGGAGGCATGTCGTGATGACCCTTCATACATGGCCTTGAACAGCCATAAACATGACCCATTGATCACATTGACTGAAGGGTCTTTATGAGCTAGGGAACAATTTGCTTTTTACCATCAGTATACTGTAGACAATAAAATCTCTAGTTCACCACATTTTAATGCTCTCTAAGCTTTCCCTCAAGATTTTTATTTATTTATTTATTTATTTATTTGTTTGGTTTTTCAGGCGGAGTTTGCAGAGGCCCTAGCACTGAAACCGTCTTCACTATTTGTGGAGCAGTTTTTCTCTATGCTGGACAAGGATCAGAATGGATACATCTCCTTCAGGGAGTTTCTTTATGCTGTGGTTCTCTTCTCCAAAGGTAAAAATTAAATTTATCTTGAAACAAAAATAATTATAACTCAATCCCATATGAATCAATAAATGAAACATTGGATCAAAAAGTAAATTGATTTTAAATTATATTGGAAGGATAAATAATTATAAAATCTATAATGGAATGATAGGTACTTTAAGCAGTTATTAAATATTTGAATAGATATATATTAAGAAGTTGAATGTTAGTAAAAGCAAAATATATTTCACCTCTGTAGTGGAATGGGTATTATTGAACTTTTGTTGAATATTTGATCATTATCTTGCACTGTATATTTCAGGATCCTGTGAAGACAAACTCCACATGCTGTTCAGGATGTATGACCTCAACCACAGTGGCTCTCTGAATAAAGAAGAAATTGCGGCTTTACTGAGGTTGGACATTGTTGTTTTTGTTGTTGTTGTTGTTGTTTAATTCCCATACTAAATAGGAACAAAACTGACTGAGAGGCAAATTTACGAAATTTTTGGTTTGTTTGTTTGTTTGTTTTTAGAGTGTACTTATACTAGCTGACTTGAAGAAGGTAATAGAAAAATTTTAGGTTAGATTTTTTTACATTGACTAACTTAAATGATATAGACTAATACTTTATTTGAAAAGGATTCAGCAAAATTAGAATGTTTTTATCCAGATCTCTGCTAGAAATGGCCAACACTGACCTGACAGCAGACGAAGTAGATAAACTGACAGAGACCATGTTTGTCAACTCTGGTCTGGAAGGGAAAGGATCACTCCGATTTGAGGAATTTCAGCAACTGCTAGCAGACGACATGACAAAGTTGTGGGATGTCTGCATAGATTGGAAGGGTGAGAGGGTTAAATAATGTTTTCAAGACGATGAAATTAGACTATTATTCATTAAGTAAATCTAATAGCTATAGATAATATTATAATTATTGGAGTGTGATTTATTGAAACAATTAATGTAGAAACTTTTTTTTTGTCTGAACTGCTGAATATTCAAAACTGAACTTTGTGGATAGTTTAGAAGACTGGATACAGCATAAATGTTTGGCTTTTTTTTCACTTGGTGACAGAGCAGTAACTAACATTGCTTCCCCTGAAATTGTTTCAGGCACTAAAGTTTGCTTCCCAAAGAAAAGAAGGTAAGGTTTGCCATTGAGATTATTGTTTTGAACAGAAGAAAAAATGACACATAAATACACCCAGCCTGTAATTTAAACAGTAGTTCATGATACAAACTTAGATCAATATAATGTGCAGTGATAAATTTCATGAGTAGTTTAGGTCATGCGTCATCATTATCTAGCAGTCCTTATGAGTATATTAAGTTTACATAATGCTGTTGGCTAATATTGTAGTGGATGAGAAAGCATTTTCCAAGAGTAACAGCAAGCATTATATTTTTAGACCAAAATACAATGAATGCACTATTAAAGCATATAAAGTTTTTTTAATCATGTTATACTCATTTTATTTATTTATTTATTTATTTATTTATTTATTGTAGTAATGTTGACAAGGAGAAGGTAAAATTTGGCAACACGGGTCAAGATGCCTTTGGTGCCACACGAGAGAAATACCACCCCATTGGTGCCAAGATGAAGAACGTTTTACACTTCATCGAAAACAACAGACAGCACATCTTTTATCTCATCATCTTCTATGGCATTTGCATTGGGCTATTTTCTGAGAGGTTTTATAGTAAGTGGCTCCAGGGAACAAAATGTACAGCTGTGCACTGCTGATAATGAACAATGGCTGGAGTATATGTTATGCGCAGCAGACACTTTAGAAAATTGTTCGAGTTAGGTTGTACTTGGGTATAAAAATATGATTTATAAGAAACTTCAGATCATTTTGATCATTACGTGTTTGTCACCATCTTGATCTGATAAATTATATAAATATTTTTCATTGAAATGTATTTATTTTTTTTTCCTTTTCAAGCCTATTCAGTGGAGAAAGAACACTTTGGACTTCGCCGCATTGCCAGTTATGGTGTCCCAGTGTCTCGGGGCTCTGCTGCTGCCTTGACCTTCTGCTATTCCTTGATCCTTCTGACAGTGTGTCGTAATCTGATCACAAGATTACGCGAGACTTTTCTCAATCTCTACATCCCCTTTGATTCCAATGTGGCCTTTCACAAGGTCATTGCTTGGACGGCTCTCTTCTTTACATGTAAGTACGTGAGTTCAGACTGGGACAGTTTTGGAGCAGAAATTTGGGTCACTGGAGAGACCACGCTGCACTTATGACATCTTAAGTTAATGCCTGGTGGCACATAAGCAGTTTGAGTGTCTGATTCTGTGCATGCATTTTTGATGATTTTACAACTGAAGTAGACCTGAAGTATGGTGCTAAATCTGTGCATGCTGACCAACAAGAAGCTGTTAAACACGAGGCTTAGTACTAATCTATAAGACATGGCCTGAAATAGTTTTTGGTAGTTAACAAACACAAATGAACTACAGTATTGAATTTGGATAGAATATTATCAAAGACAAGAAAGAATTTGATTTTCAACATACCCTAACATTATAATTGTAATTTACTATCAGTGCTACCCATTTGATTCAAAATCCAAAATGGTTGCCAAAAGTATTACCATGTTTATAGTGTGCCCTGCTCATATACTTACAGGTAATATCTGAATGAATTCTTTTGTTTTCACACACATTCACATTAGTGCATCATTTAATTTTATATTCTTTTGATTTCATGCTGCGTGATTATTTATTTCAGTGGCACATGTAGTGGGGCACGCCCTCAACTTCTACCACATTTCCACACAGCCTGTCCAGCATCTCTGCATCTTTGACGAAATCTTTTTCAAGTTAGTAAACAGTGAAATATAGTGACTGGAATTGCATGGCTTTCTTAATTTAAATTGAATGTTATTAGATAAATGCAGATTTCATTTTTACAGTCAGTGTGGTAAAATTATGTGGCATGCATAATTTGGAAACAAAAATATGCCTTTCTTAGCTTGTACTAGTATCTTATGTAGAAACGTGCATCACATCCAAAGTCATGGATGAAGGTTAAAATATCATGTCTTTTATAGATAAAAAAATATATTTAGACTCTTCAAAAATTCTTTATTTTCCTGACCAGTATTGTGCACTTTTTTAGGTCGGAGTATCTGCCAACTTTTGCATGGTGGCTGTTGGGAACTTTAACTGGTATGTTTTGATGTATTAATTTAATGATTTGATTTTTTTTTTTTTTTTTGGGGGGGGGGGAAGTTTTGTTGTACAGGTCAACTTCCATGTACATATTTATATAAACATTTTAGTTTTACATTTTATCAAAACTTCATATATAGTAAAAGTAGACTGCATAACTCGTTGCACTGTATTTACCTCAAACATATCTTGATGAACTTAATTGTAAGTAATATCGACTGAAATTATGTATTATGATCATTCCCTTAACCAAATCTTTGAGCAACTCTGACAAATTTTCTGGTCCCAGCCATGTGTGTCTGAGTGGAGTTGACTGTATTTTTTTTTTTAATTTATTGATTTATTATTTTATTTTATTTTATTATTATTATTTTTTAATATTTCCAGGCATGACAGGAGTCCTGGTTACGATTGTCATATTTGTCATCTACATCTTTGCCACGCAGTGTGCCAGGCAGTTCATCTTCAATGCTTTCTGGGCCACGCACAAGCTCATCATCCCCATGTATATTCTGACCATACTGCACGGCAGCGGGCGACTCCTGCAGTTGCCATACTTCTGGGCGTACTTTGTCGGACCTGCCATTTTGTTCACCATTGATAAGCTGGTCAGCATCAGCCGACGGAAGATGGAAATTTCTGTGATAAATGCAGAACTTTTGCCCTCTGGTTGGTATTTATATTACAAACTGGTTTTAAGTCGATAAACTCTTCAAAAGGATTTCTTTCGGAGTTATAATTAAGTTGATTATTGCATGGATGTTTTTAAAATTTGTAACAGAAAGGAATTTTTATGTCCTTGATTAACATTATCCTGTTTCTGTATCTTTTATGTTGAGATAAGTGATGAGCAAATGTACTATAACCAATGACTTAAATCACAAAAAATTAGTTGTCTCATTTTCGTAAATGATAACTTTTAAAATTGAGACAGAAGTTTAACTTTACAGAAGTGGTTACAATTCTCCTTCATTTTTTAAAAAATTATTTATTTATTTATTATTATTTTAATTTTTTTCCCTTCTTTTCACAAGATGTCACCTTCCTGGAATTTAAACGCCCGCCCAACTTTGAGTACAAATCAGGGCAGTGGGTGCGCATTGCCTGCCTGTCACAGGGCCGCCATGAGTATCACCCGTTCACCTTGACCTCTGCCCCCCAGGAGGACACACTCAGCCTCCACATCAGAGCCATAGGACCCTGGACGTGGAACCTGAGGAACTTATATGACCCGGACATGCTTAGGGATGGCCCCTATCCTAAGGTGCATAGCTGAAGTTTGGAGGTTGAACAAATAAAACACATTCAAATGTACAATGTACTGATTAACTGAGAACGTAGTAAAATTGGTGTTCTACTGGTATACATGAACATGTGATCTGGTGCTTTTTTTATAGATGGATTTTGATGATTTTGTTTAGAATAGGTCAGAAATGGGCTTACTTGAAAATGATTAGATTTTTGTGGTGTGCCTTGATCCAGACCAACATCAAGATCTGAGAATATTTAAAAGAATTCTTCATACAGCCAATGACCTTGACCTGTTTTGCTATGATTTCTCTCAACTTACCCTAATTACCAGGCCTGTGCTTTCTAAACATTTGTATTTCTAATATTAAGTATCAAATCTATTTCAGTTGTTTCTGGATGGCCCCTATGGCTCTGGACACCAGGACTGGTATCAGTACGATGTGTCCATCTTGGTTGGTGGAGGAATTGGAGTGACCCCATTTGCTTCCATTCTCAAGGACTTTGTCCACATGTCCACCATCAAAAACACTTTTAAGATCAAGTGCCAAAAGGTAGGGAGATCAAACAAATGTATGAGAACTACTATCCTATTGCGATATTTCATATTTTAAGGTATAAAAACATACTTTGGTGGTCTGGGAAATAAAATATTTATCAAATTTGTTTTATATTTTCTTTCAGTTTGCTGGTGAGATGGGTGCTGAACTGAATATTCCAATATTTCTTTATTTGAAGATTTATTTTTAAATAAGTTATAAAAAAAACTCTTTTTGTTTTGTTTTTGAGCATATGGAATCTATCTGTGTTGTTCTTTATTTTCTTCCAGTTTAGAAGCTAGATTACAAATTAAACCAAATCTTGAAATGTGTGATTTTTTAAAGTTTCCATGTGTGGTTTTAATATTATAGCAAATTATACAATTGTTGAGCATGTACATGTACATCATATTTAGGAAAAACAGTTTAAACGTAACTGTAAAGCTGATGTCCCTGTATAGTCATATGAATTCATATTTTGCTGTATTTAACCCCCCCCCCCCAAAAAAAAAAAAAAAAAAAAATACACCAGTTTCTTAATTACTAAAATCTACCTTTTATTGAATGCACGTACCTGGATTACTGGTAATGCCTTAAATTTGCTGTGTCCTGTAAGTGATAATAGAGATTACTTTCTTGTAATCTGTGAAGTCTGTGGCATTGAGGTCCTTAATCCATTCTCAGACTGATTGATTGGTTTATTCATATAATTTCTTTTCAAATACCCTGGTTCAGAACTTGCCATTTTACCATTATTATAATTATTTAATATATATTTTGATTATTTCAGCTGTACTTTATCTGGGTGACAGCCAGTCAACGCCATTACGAGTGGCTGATCGACATTCTAAGACAAGTGGAGGAGGTGGACAAGAACGGACTAGTCAACATTCACATTTTCATCACACAGTTCTTCCAAAAGTTTGACCTGAGGACTGCCATGCTGGTATGTTAATATGTGAGGTACTACAAGACTACGACTTGATGAGACCGAAAAATCAGACAAACTTCATCATTAAACTGGAAATCCCAATTAAAGCAGAGTGGGATCTCTGCATAGAGAGATTCTAGACTCCCCACTGCATTTTGGCCCAATTCCCTAGCTCAAGCTAGTAAATAAAAAAAATTATTTCTGATAATGTGAAAACAAGCAGTTTGGTCTTTGATAGGTCCTGTCTGAACAGATCTTAGTCATAGCACTCACTTTATATTTCCATGTAACTTTATCAGCCAGTTAATTTACAAATAAAAATTAAATGGTAAATTAAAATGTGTTGTATTTGTCCTACAAAAATGACAGTTTTGGGGTACAATTAATATATATACCTAGGGGTCTGGGTGCAGATCCCTTGTTTCAAAATAAAAGTAGAATCAAGACAGCAGAGACCATTGAACGAGGCAAGTTGCTAGTAATTAGTGTAACACAGGGAGGACTGTCATTCAGTATTTTGTATTATTTTAATGTCCCAGCCATTTTGAAAGATTAAAAAAAACAATATTCTTATATTATTTACATAGTGTATTACAATTAAGTAGCTGTTTGTGTAGTGTCTGTTGTTACCATAATTATTATTATACTGTGTCAGAGGTACATGTAAGAATGATGACAATTCATTTCAGTATATATGTGAAGAGCATTTCACTAAAGTGTCTGGGAAGAGTTTGTTCACTGGACTGAGAGCAAAGACCCACTTTGGACGTCCCCAGTTTGAGAAGATATTCCAGTCAGTTCAGGAGACATCTAAGGTATAAGACCAATAAGACCTGTTCTTTGAGAAATTTACAGAGCTAGCCCTGTACTACATGTAGGCCTTTGTTGTCAAAATTGCCACCCACCCCAACTCATTTTGTGAATTAGAAAAAATGAGGAGAGATGCTGGATTAATAAATAAGGTTGACTGTGTGAAAGTTTTAAAGCTTCTATTTCTAGGCAATTCGGTATATGGATAAAATTGCTTCTTTAGCAAAATTATGTAGCATAGTTGGAAATAATTTTTTTATTTGCTTTAATTGTTTCTTATAAACTTCTACTGTATGTTAAGCTAATATTTATAGGCATTTTGCTTAAGCATAAATAACAAGTTCTTCTATTATACACACTATTTACACAACCCCACTTAAACAAAGGGTTCTTGCAAAATACTAAATATGAGACTAATACGTTATGTAGTATATAAGTAATGATAATTGATAAACAACAAATCCAATTATTCATATGCTTGCTTTACATTATTAACAAATAAAATATTTTAGGAACCTGAGGTAAGTTTGGTGCTGGTCAGTTATTTGTAATCTCTTCCTCTTCCAGTTTTCAGTTTTAGTAATTGCATGCGTTCTAAACTGTGTCAATAACCTTTGAGTTAACTCAAAATAGTATTTTAAACAGGTCATTCTAGTTTACAGTCTTTTTGTTAAGTGGTTAAAACCCCACGAGGGCTAACCTACAACATGGTCAGTTATGAGGTTTTTTTTGGACTATCGGCATATTTCAGACTTTTTGGAGCCAAAAATGCCCCAAGCCATATTTTAACTTTTTTTTCACTAAATGGCAGTCTTATCCCTGCATGGTTTAGTTGCTCAGGTCTGGTTCATGGTGTAAGCTGAAAGTTGTAAATAAATTGGTAATTCCAATCCTGGATTGTATGCTCCCTTCTGAGATGAGACTTATTTCCAGTTGTTAAAATTGAACTCCTTCAGAAATCTCAAGGATAAATTTTTTAACCAGCTGGGGTTATTTATTTATTTAGACTTTACTTTGACATCATTATTATTATTTTATTTGCCAAGTGATTAATTTTTTTAACAAATAGCCAATGAAATTGGAGTATTTTTGTTTGCCTACTGTACCAAAGACATTTTGTTTTTCTCAATTTCAAACTAAAGGATGTTTAACAATCAGATAATTATTTCTGGTGATGTGTCAATTATTTGTGATGAGTCAAGCAGTGTTTTAACAGTCTGTGAAAAGTTTATGTCTAACTGGTCATTTACAACCCCCCTTGACAAGTTCTCCAATATATCTCATATCTACTGTAAAATGTAACAATATCAATTTGAAGAGACCTCAATAATATTCCGAATGATTTTAATGACCATCAATATATCAAGTTATGAATAAAATCAAGAAAATTGTAATTCATAAATTATTTTTAAAGATAATTTTCTTCACTGAAATTCAGACTCTTCCCTGACTGCATGCAGTAATTCTTTGCATTTTCATAAAGTTTTTTTTTTTTTTCTTTTTTTAAATAATTTAAAATTTCTTGAAAAGGGCATGCTGGCTTGTGAGATAGGTTGTCCCTAAAAGACGAGAAAGATGGATCACTGTGGAAATGATGCTACTTCCCATGGTCATATAAAAATTATGATTTCTTAGTCTCCTTGATTATCTTTCTACAATAAACTTATTTTTTCTCTCCTAGGTAACCAAGGTTGGCGTGTTCAGCTGTGGTCCACCAGGTCTCACCAAGGGTGTGGAGAAAGCCTGCATCGAGAGCAGCAAGCACTCTAAGGCCCTCTTTGAACACCACTATGAGAACTTTTAATGCTGGCATCCCCAGGGAAATATGCTCCTCCATATATGGGTGACATCAGGAGGAAAATCTGTGGAATTTGCAGCAAAAGAAGAATATACCTTGAGTCAAAAAATTAATTTAAACATGACACTATTATACAATTAACAAAGGAGTTATACTTTTGATTTCAAACCAACAGAATACTGGAAAATAAGAGTAGTCTTCATGTCAGTCTTGCGGATCCAGTATTTTTGGACCAGCTAGATCAGTATGTAAGGTGCATTTCCAGTAAAGTTGGTAGAGTTTAACTTAGTACCTGGACCATGCTGTCATAACAGATAGGTATCATTGTGGTTTTAAACCAAGAGCTGAAATTAATCCTCATGTTCTTGCGAGTGTCAGATGTTTAGTTGATGCAACTCAATATGTGACAGTGCTAAATAAATTGGCTAAAACAGGACTGTGAACCACCCTTCACTTGCATACAAGAAGGCTAGGTGGTTTGCCTGCAGTAATCTGGGATGTTCTGATTTGAAAGTAGAGACCTCTTTGTTAAAACTTTGTTAAAACTTAGGCTTCTAAGCATTTACTGGAATTTTAAAATGCATCATTGGGCGAGAATAATAATCCAGACTTTTCTTCTTCCATATTTAAAATTTTATTTTGATCAAGAATTTTATCTTTGTAAATCCATTTAACTCATATATTTTAAAAAGGAGCTTCCAAGTGCTTAGGGTTATGAATATTTTGGGATTTATACATCTAAGAAAGTAAAGTTCTGCGCTTCTGTAAGGCATTGATATGATGTCATTAATTTAGTGACTTTAATCTCAGTTTTAGTTAAACATTTTTACGAATTTCACAATGGGATGACAACCCCTCAAACATCCTTACCAACATTGGGAGGGGTGCCAGTGACTTTATATAAGCTTATATAAATGCCATCCTTCAGAGTAAGTTGAGACTTTTATTAGGTCTTTTGTGCCATGGTAACCAGTTGATAGCATCATTATTTAGGTTTTTAATTGTTGAATTGTGTCAAGAATACACCTCTTTAAGCGTTTCTTTTCCCAATATTGTTTGATTATGCATTTAACAAGGGTTGACCCTTGAATCCACATTTCCCAGACTGTAAAATGTACATCTCAAATGGTGTAAGAGTGAAAACTTAGTGTAGCCTCTTTTTGGTTGGTGTGCATCACTTTCCCCACTTTCTGGTCAACTCTAAATTTATCCATTCATTTATAGCAAGCTTTCTTCAAGGCACATGGATATTTGTTATGAATAGGGATTACAGGGACTAAACATATCCAGTGTTATTTAAAAAACAAAACTTAAAAATATGTACATCAAACAAAAGTAGATTGAATTACTGAAGCAAAAAAATTACTAGGAAAGGATCCGACTTCTTATTATAATTTTTTTTTTTTTTTGAAGGCTGAGATGATCTCCTGTGCCTTGAAGCATAAACTTGCACACCAGAATAATGAAATAAAATCAACAACACCTTGAATTGTTTTCAAACAAAAATTTGTTTATTGAACTGAGAGAATATCATCCATTGTTTCCTTCAAACTTATTTCAAAAACTGCCTTCCAAAGTTTTCCACTTACATGCAGATTACGTTAATTCCATCTCAAAATGCTCCATTACATATTCAACAAGCCTTGAATAATCTTATGAAATATGTACAACATAAACTGATGGCAAAGAAGATGCCAAGAACTTGCTTCTCTCATATCTAGATTACAAAGTGGGCCCCTTTTATTACAAATATCCAGTTTTGACCGAACTGTGGTACTACTGAACACTTTATCCAAAATTTTATTTCAAAAACTTAACATAGAAATGTTGAACCTATATTCGTTATCAACATGTAATATTACAATTGAATTTTTTGGTAAAGAACCTTTTCTGTTTACTTAAATCTTTCCACCTTGCACATTTATCAATGCATTTCATCTTCATTCTCAACATTTTAATTAGAGGAGAAACAAATTCTCGGTTCATTGTTGTATCCTAAAAATTGTATCAGAGTTATATTCAAATCAAAAGATGTTTTAAAGTTCTGTTTGGAAATCTTTTTCTAACTTCACAAACAAATATATAAAGAACATCATGCATTCATTAAGAATTTTTTTTCATGCAGCATTTTCTTTAGAAATACAAAAGGGATCAACTACAATATATACAACAACTACAATATATGCACAAGATAGTGATAAAAACTGTTACACTGACAACAATATTTCAATCACTTCCATTTTTGAGGCCATGCTTATCAAGTAGATTCAAAACTCTAACATTTTTTTTTATAAATCTTCCAACTTATAAATTTAAAACTGTTTGGATTTGACTTGGCATTTCAACAAAAGTGGAGTAGTTGGCAAAATTATCCTCAGTGTATTATCTACTAAATAAACCACACGAATGTTTGACTGAAGAACATTGAAGTGAAACTTGATACCATTTTGCTTTGCATTTTTCCGTTTGGTTTAATCAAAATAAATTGTCATTGTAACTTAGCAGGATTAAATAATTTAACAGTAGTTTGCCCATCCCTTCAACCAAATGAATTTTTTTTTTTGGGGGGGGGGGGGGCTTAATAATAACACCTTCCAAAGAGTCTACCCATCTGAAGAATCACTATCACTGCCCAAAGTTCACTCATTCAGGTGTTTTTCAGGTGCTATGAATTTGGTGCCTTCTGCTTAACCATCCTTCCTCCTTGCATGCTCCATACCTTGTCTACGGAACATATTCAAAAATGAACAAATATCACACTTAAAAAAAGAAATTCAACTTCCAATTCAAAAGAAGTTCAAGAGTTACTCTTAGATTCACATAAAGATTCTTAGAAAAGATTCAGGCAAAACATGTTACTTTAATTTCTTACACAATTACTTTAGGTATCAATTTAATAATAAAAAAATTTAACACTACAAGCAGGACACTTGACAAATGATGTCATGCTTTTCACCGCGTGTCACCAAATTCATACCACAACATGATTTTAAACATTCTGCTGGCGGGGTCTTTTCTCCAGTGATGGAACGCTCTGAAAAACACACTTAATTTTGCTGCAATTTTAGCAGCATTAGAACAGAATGAATATTTATAATAATGATAATAAATAAATAATAATAAAATAAGAGATTTCATCAACTTTGCCATCATCTTTGCATATTTCCAATAAACTACAGTAATATACATGCCATAGTGCACAAGCAAAACTATGCTTAACATAATTTTTTCATTTTTTTTTTTCATTATTAATCTAAAATCAACACTAAAACCTTCAACACCTAACATTTCCACAACTTATGTACAGTTACCTTCGTCCTCAACTCTGCACTCATTTGCACCAAGGAGTTTCACATCCGGGTCAAAGTTCAGAGTTCACTCTCAAGTAAAGTCTTTGTTGGTAAAGAAAAGAAAAACCTCATAACTACCATGTATTTCATTTCCCTCAAAATGCAAGTAAACGAAGATAATTCACCTTATCAACAAAGTCATCCAGTTCTACACAAGATGAAAACATTTTCATATTGACAAAATGTGACATATACACATAAAATTACGACAGTTTTGCTTTGTAGTCTACATTGCATTAATTCACAGTAATACATATAGTTTTTAAAATATTATTAAAATAATATTATTACTTTCCACTTATTTTTAAGACACTTCTTTTCTCCCTTTCTAGGAAACAACACAGAGATACATAATTTTCATAGCCTGAAAATATGAGACATTTACAAAATATACACTATAAGTCCTTGCTCAAACACCATTGAAACCAGTCAAATATTAAGTTTATCCAAGACAGCAACAAAGTGAGTACTCAAGATGGGAAACCCAACAAATTGAGATGTGAAATCTAAACTGGCTTAAAGGTTGTTGAGCAAGTACGCAAGCAGATATCAAAAATTTTGAGATACCTTACCAGATAATAAAAAGATAATCTGTGTCACTTCAGACCAAGGATGGGCTGCCATCTTTCAATCCAGGAACAGCTTTAAAACCTGCAGAAAAACTTTAAAATGAATTAGTGACTTAATCGCCTAACTAAATCTGAACTAAGAAGATGTAATCTTAACTAATAAGAATTACTATACAGTTACTCGTCTTCAAGTTTCATTTTCACAATTTTTTTCCTATACTCATTTTCAATTGTCTGATTCAGTGCTTATTTCAGTGCTGTTTTGCAGCTTTTTTTTTTTCAGTTTCAGTACTTATGTTTTCTGCATATAAATATATTTTTTTTTTTCTGTTCTTTCTACTTCACACAATAAAATGCTTTTTTTTGTTTGTTTGTTTTTTTCGTGTATTCTGAGGTAAATCGTTACTCCCTTCATGTCACACAGACATAAAACCCTGTTTGTCAACCACCGTCTACGTTTTTTTCCTGGCTCTGATCTCTTTGAACCAAGGGGTCACGATGACGCTTTGGGTTCTTCAACCTCGTCATAGCCTCATTGGGGCCAACTGTTTTCCATAATTGTACAAAGTTGTGTTCACTCTCCGCTGGCCATTAAGGCACATTTTGGACAAAACTCAAGTGACACATTATCTTTGTCCACGTGAAGGCAAATCCCACCACTAGGAGCCACAGTGCGAGCTCTCTTAGATGGTTTTCTATAGTCATGATCTAGGTTTGCTGCCCTTTTGGTTGTGAAAGAGGAGGTTAGCGTAACCCCTTTAACACTGTCCATGTTCTGTAAGATATTTGCCAGCACACTTTGATTTGCCAGCACATTTTTTAAGTATGCCACCTCTTCTTGTAAAGAAACATTGTCTTCGTCTAGTCTCTTTGACTTCAATATCAGGGCTTCGTTTTCTTTTCTCAGAGACTGCACTTCAGATTCAAGTCCTTGCATATAGGCTTTCTTCTTTTGTCGGTTAAGTTTGGCCATTTCGGCATTGTGGCGATTACGAGCAAGAATGTCAGGTATATTGGCCACATCAACAGGTTGTACTGGTGTGGCCTTTACCACTTGCACCACTCTTGTATTAGAAGAAGTCCGTTTCGTGGTGACACTCAGGGCAGGCCTTTTCTCTGCTTTTCTTGGCATGATGGTGAATTTCGTACTAGTAACAGTTTTTTCAGATTTCTGCATCTGCTCGGGGACAATCCCAGATGCATCACACAAATACCCCAAGAAGTCTTCATCAACTTTGGTCTCTTCTGTGTCACTCAAATTGTTACCCTTTTCAGTTTCAATAGAAGCGTTCTCTGGTGCATCAGGTAACATGTGCAGTAGGTGACTGTCGTCTTCTTGGACTAAATCATCAAAAGTAATACTTGTCTCTAACTCAGGGAAAAGTTGCGAGGACTGCTCAGTGTCTAAATCCTCCATAAATCCTGTATCTGTGCTTGAGGAATAACTTCCCGCTGGACTCCCGAGGCTGTACTTGTCGTCACAGTCCAGGCTGTAGGCTGGAGAAAGCATCGGGTCGGCGCCTCTGTCTACGTTGACGGCCTTCAAGACTTCTTCAAGTTGGCTATCAACATCAACAAAGGCATGGGTAACATCAATGTCTTCCATATCAACAAGTTGTTACAACAAATAAAAATTTTGCGTACAACTTTAAAGCACTCGACCTGACGTTTTACTATAAAGGTTCGGGTAACAAAAGTCTGCAGTGCTGTATATTGTTTTTTTCACGAAATGTACCCGTAAGTTCTGACTGTTAATTAAGACAGTATAAATTTCTTACTTTTGACTGTTCGACGTCAAATTAGTCTACTGCAACGGTCGCTATTCTGACATCAATCCGACAGAAATATGAGCCAATATGCGACAGATTTTTTCACAAATTGTTACAGTTAAGGTGTATTACCTCTTTTAACAAGCTCCTCCGCTGTTGCCTTACAAATGTCAATAAGAAACGATCTCAACCTTCCTCACACTTCCAAGTAAAAATGCTGAGCTAGACAAACGTGAGTAAAACGTTTGGAACACGAGATTGGATGAATGGAGTCACATGGTTCAAATTATGCTCACTGATTGGATAGCTATTTTTAACCATGATATCATTGCAATCACCTGCCCGACGTTCATGAAACGTAAGGCGGCTTGCAGTTTTGATTCATACGCTGTGTGGGAATATTTGTCTACTCTTTTATCAAAGAAAGGGCCCCACATTGAAAGGCCGTGGCAATTTGCTGATAGACTATCAACACAAAAGCAAAAGCTATGTAATAAAACATCTGAATAGCCTAAACAGTTGGAATACGCTTATATCTGGCGGAAGAATCGATATGTAGTACCGATTTTATGCGGGATCAAAAGATGTTCTTTAAAAAAAAATCCCTATTTTTGTGGAAAGTGGTCATATAAATAATTATTTTAAATAAAAACAATGGTAATTTTTCATAAGATAAAAATTATCTCGTGAATTGTAAAATGCGGCCCTGCTCTCTCATATCAGGAAACGAAGGAAACGTCAACATGGCCACAGCTGATGAGGCCGAGATATTACCTCTGGCCGAGAGTTTCCTTGCTGCTGATGTAGGCGAGTCTTCCAGTCCGACGGCAACCATGTGGGACCCTCTGTCTTGTAAAGACTGGGACAATGAAAAGGCGTCTCCACAGTGCTTAACCAGAATCAAGAGGTGATTATAAATATGTCTTAAAACTTCTATGACATAGTGAAAAATGAAAATGAAAGATGAAAAAGTTACTAGACCGTAAGTTAAAGATATCCCTTCTTGGAGAAAAACTAAAACATACGGGGAATTCAGTCACACCTTGCACAGTATATTAAAATGTGTAAACAGTAAGTGCTGCTTTTACTAATTAAATATGAATTGCTATATAAAATAAATCTCCAAGTTAAACACCTTGATAATTGTTAAGCACAATGCTAATAATTCAATTTCAGGGACATCATGAGTATTTACCAAGAGCCGCCGCCTGGTATGTGTATTGTGCCTGACAAGGACAACATAACAAAGGTATTTTTTGGTGGATAAATTTAATGCAATAATTATTAAAGGGTACAAGTACAAGAAATTGAAAGGACTGGTACAGAACCAATATGATGTGACCTATATTTGTAGGCTAGTTTTTGAGGAATAATAATGAAGCATTTGCAAAATTCTATTTCATTTTTCACCCAAGGATTGCATGTTATTTCTCAAAACCTGCACTCTCCCTGCTGGCCAATCAGGTCCAGTCACTGGACATTATTTACATTATTCTTTAATTGTAAGATATTTATTGAAGCTAAAAAGACACTCATGTATTTTTTCTTCAGATTCATGCTCTTATAACAGGGCCATTCGACACTCCATACGAAGGGGGTTTCTTTTACTTCCTGATACGATGTCCACCAGATTATCCAATCAGAGCACCAAGAGTTCGGCTGTTGACCACAGGAGATGGGCGTGTCCGATTTAACCCTAACCTGTACAGGAATGGCAAAGTCTGTTTGAGTATTTTAGGGTAAGGACTATGCACTCAGAGGTTTTTAAGTGCTAACAAAGTATATATAAGATCGCATTCACAACGAGTTGAGCCATGGCTTTACAAATCCTGGAACTAAATATGGCGGATGTACATAAAAAAAAACGCCTAATTTTTTAATAGTCTCTCCCCCTCTCACACGCCTCCCCATGCGTCGTCCCTGCGGGGGTACAGTCATTAAATCTCGGCTCCATTAGGCGGTTTTTCTTTCATGTACGTGCCATATTAGTTCCAGGATTTGTAAAGCCATGGCTTAACTCGTTGTGAATGCGATCTTAGATGGCTTAGTGTATATAAGCAATTAACTGATTTTTTCTTTGCTTGAACAACATGTCAGGCAGTGCAAAATATCTCTTCAATTTACAAAAGTAGTTGAACTTTGAATTAACGAGCAGGAATTGTTGTGCTTCATGACCTGACATACAGTTTTAGCTATTAACAGATTCATATTAAATTTTATAATTAGTACAGCAGATCTCACATTTAGTGGCCTTGCTCAAACTGGACACTCGCCTTTTACTGAATATGGATGTCCCAATCTGATCATGTGAAAGAGAGTGGTATAAAAATTATTTGTATTATGTTCAAAAATAGCTTAAGTCATTAAGAATGTTACATTAAAGAGACAACCTGTTGAATGGAAATCTTAACAACTATTGTTCACAAAACAGAACACAATCTAGGTTGATTTTGATGGTCTTGACTAATGCAGTAAGCTGCAGAATATAAAAGGCAATGGCCAGCTGCAGGGCCACAACACAATGGATCACACCAAACACAATTTAGTTTTAAACAAATTCGAAATGTTTTGTTTCTTTATCCAGAGCTTCATCAGTTGTGTTATGCACCCAAAGTTACATTGATGGATCCTTCAAGACTAATGCCTGATATGTAAATGTGATGAACTCGTCTTGTGTAATATGTTGGAGTTAAACTAGGTAATGCTCATTCCCTCTTGAGTTTAAGCTGTTATTAGATTCAGGAATTTGCTATTACAACCAATGTCTTTATGAGTTTAATCAGCATTTTAATATGATTCCAGCACATGGTCAGGTCCAGCATGGAGTCCCGCACAGAGCCTGTCTAGTGTTCTCATCTCCATACAGTCTCTTATGAATGAGAAACCATACCACAATGAACCAGGATTCGAACAGGTGCAGACTGGTTTTAATTTTAATTGTTTTTTTTTTTATTTTTTTTATTTTTTTTATTTTTTGTTTTCCAAAAAAAAAATAAAATAAATAAATAAATAAATAAATAAAGGAGCAAAATAACAAAGATCCATTCTAAGATAATGATAATGTAAATAGGTGATAACAATCACTGAAGGTAAATAAAGAATTATGATAAAATTCTGGTAGAGCTCATTGAATGAGTAGTACTTTAAATGAATGATAAGAGGTACATGTAGAAAGATATCAGTGAAATTTTAGTGATCTTTGAGATTGGGTTCCCATAAAACTGTTGCACTAGCAGGATCGATCTAACTATGAGGAGATTCTTGCTAAATTACACTCAGCATAAGTGGCTTGAATGTCTGACACGTCCACTGAAGCTGCTAGGAGGGTAATTAACTTTGGTTTACGCTTAAACTGAATGTAATTAAGGGAAAATCCCCTCATAAATTATTTGGATGTAACTCTAACTTTGGGCTGACCTAACTACATAATGTTTGCCTGCTTTCAGATGATGTTTAAAGTATATAATGTACAGCAGTTTTCTGTTGGCTTTATGGTATATTTGTACATTGAATCATTTTATTTGTTGCAGGAAAGGACCCCAGGAGATGCCAAGAGGTATAATGACATCATAAGACATGAAACCCTACGAGTAGCAGTTTGTGATATGCTAGAGGGAAGGTGTCAGTGTCCACAAGCATTAAGGTAAGGAGTCAATGTCCACAAGCATTAAGGTAAGGAGTCAATGTCCACAAGCATTAAGGTAAGGCATCAATGTCCACAGGCAGTAAGGTAAGGAGTCAATGTCCACAAGCATTAAGGTAAATAAGGAGTCAATTTCCACAAGAATAATCACTTTCGATGATTTTGTTATAGAATATAACAGTGAATTTAATGGACAGTAAATCAACTTCCTTATATAAACGTATAATTGAATTGTGAGAATTGTACTAGTAATTTCCCAAAGAACTGACATTCATTATTATAAAAAAAATCAGAGTTTATTTGAATTATAAAAGGAAGTAGGAATGTTAAGGAAGTGGTTATATTTTGTCAGTTATATGAATTTTTTTTTAATGTTTTGTATGTATATTTATTCATTTATTTGCTTCTTGTTTATTAAAGCTGTAGCTGGCATATTTTCCAATTTCATATTTGATCCCGTTGTAGAAATGTGAAAATGACATGTTTTAATGTATATGTGTGCACTGATGTTGTAATTTTTAATTAATATCTGTATCTAGTAACAAGTAAATTGTCTGTTTGTTTTGTAACAGGTATTTTCTTGATATTTTATTTCAGGGAGGTGATGGAGAAATCATTTCCAGAGTATTACGATTACTATGAATCCACTTGCCTATCCAATTCCCACCTATCTGGACAAAATATGCAGGTAAGGTTTGAAGATATATGCCTCAGATATTGCAATAATTACTTATTGAATTTTAACAAAAACAAATTAATATATTCTATAGCAATGCTTTGTTAGTTACACATTAAATTATTGATTCAGTAATGTCTTGGCTTCACATCAAAAAGCACAAGTCATGCCATTTTTATAAGTGACTAAACTGAAAGATCTTGAAATAAGAAAATAGTGCGGTTATATCATTTATGACAATAGGTAGATGCAGCATTTGATTTTTTTTTTTTTTTTTTTTTTTTTATCACTGAATATACAGTTGCTATTATTGGCAATTTTAGTGGGTATGTTTTAAAAGTTTAGAAAGTGTAATATTAATTTTGGATAGTATGGCTGTTTTAAGTTTTAATTTTTATATTATACACAGTGTTCAGAAAAAAACTTAACATTCAGCATTTATTATTATTATTATTATTATTATTATTATTATATCACTAGGACCCATTCGGTGAGAAACGAGGGAAATTTGATTATGGTGCAATTCTCAAAAGACTTCAGACATTAAAAGTTAAACTGGAGGACCGGTTCTTATCCTCAGACTGTGAGGACTTGAGTGATGACAGTGGGGGCGTGGGAGGAGGAGGAGGAGGAGGAACAAAAGGAGAAGGAGATACAGAGGACACTTCTAATACAAACTCACAGACTCCAGAGACAACAAAACATAATAAGGGTTTACGTGTATAACACATACCCTGCGGGTCAAATATATAGTCTGATTCCCAAATTATATCGTGATTATCCCAACATGGAACGAGTAAAACATTGAGAAGGGCAAGATAAAGGAAGAACTGCATGTTGTGTTTTTTGAAGGCTTTGCACTAGCGCTGTTTCTTGACATGGCAAGCAGAAAAAGTGGCATGTTTATGTATATGGCTTCTTCAGCAATAGATAGATTTCTGATGGATGTGGTTTGTGTGTAACCACAAACCAAAGGCAAATTTGTGCAGAGCCAGTTTAGTGGTTTAATCTGTGATCAGCGAGTTTTAAGTGAGTTTTCAACCAAGCAGAAGTCAATTTCTCTAGCAGTATTTAAATAGATGGATTTTAATGTGGTTCGTATCACTGAAGACCATAGTCAATATCAGGCTTGTACTGAGGGCTGGCACCTTGTGATTGAATTTTAAAAACTGATGATAATGATATGATATCTGGTGGATAAATATTACACACTAGTGTTGTTATTTGAATCCCCCTCCCGAAACCCCCCCCCCCNAAGCAGAGTGTGTATGCCAGCACAACACAATGGGCGTCAACTGTGACCAGTGTCTCCCCCTATACAACAACAGGTCGTGGCAGGCTGCCGTTGGAGACCAGATAAATGCTTGTCAAGGTGAGCATGGTTATCACTTTCTAGTAAAAATAAAAGCCTTATAAATTTATCTGGAAATCCAAGCAAATATTTGGGTGTTGTATTTTAACCCCCCCCCCCCCCAAAAAAAAAAAAAAAAATTAATTAGTAGACCTCATATGCCTCGGACACATGAATGTTTTAAATTAACGTTTTCAGTAATTTTACACAACATATATGAGACGTTGGAAACAAATAACCCCAAAACAAAATGCCAGAATTAAAGTAACTGTACTTTGTTCCCCATTACTTTGTACAGGTGACATTCGTCTCATATACAAACCCCAATACTAACCCTAACCTGTACTTATCATATGGGACCTTGAACTCCCATTTCCAAGACAACCGCCTGTTGCCTATTGTTATTGCCTGGGTTCTCCCTGATGATAAAAAAGGACTTATGATGAACTGGGGGGAAAAGGAAAAGGTTAACTTTTCATTAAGATCCACCTAACTCTCTCCACTAAAAAATAAATAAATAAATATGCTCCTCCCATTTTAAGGCCCAGCCCAGTAATGCGATTTTTCTAGCGAGTTCTAGGTGAAATAAAACGCTTCAGTGATTAGGCACTGTGTTTTTAGACTATGATTTTCTTTTATTGAACACCAGTTTTAATGAACAGAAACAGTGGAACGAACAAGTACAACGTGATAAGTGGAGTTCTAAATCGCTAATGTATACTTTTTTTTAAAAATTCATATTGAAATCTAAAGTTGGCTCCCCTTTGTATCAAACTTGTGTACTGAAAACTGAACAAACAGATGTAGGGGGAGAACTTTCCTTTATGTCTCCTCATTCACACAATAAAGCAACAGTAAAAGAAAAACAAGTATGATGTTGAAAATTTGGCTGGTGACGGCCGTTTTTATTGAAAAGTCCCTCTAATGAATGAATAAATGAATGACTGGTGTAATTTAGTAGATAGCATAAAATAATGTGGTGTAAATGCAAGTACGTAATGTTCAGGCCTGAAAAAACTGTATTAATATGTAATTTCCAAACAAATAGTACACATATTTATTTGTGGGGTTACAAAGAGGTTAAATATTGATTATAGCCAAAAGAAGAAAAAGCCCAAACCAAAATTGTGAAAGCCGAAAAAACGTGCAGTGAAACTGCAAAGCCAAAATGGGTTTTCAAAGAGGTCAAAAACAATGATTGTGCCAAAAGGAAAAATAAAGCCAAAATTGTGAAAGCCGAAAAGGTGCGCTGTGTAACTTTAAAGCCAAAATGCGTTCTCAAGCCAAATGTAAAATTAAAGCCGATCAAGTTTAAGAAAATGGCAAAAAAAAGTGAATGTATATTGTAAATAGCCTAATGGATCTGTACAAAATTAAATTATTTTAGTATTTTGAAGTCTGCACTTGGTCTAGTTAGTGTTATATACCTGTCGTGATTTCCTCCCTTTAAGCTTCAAAGAGAAAGATATATGATTAAACGGTCGGTAAAATAATTGGCGTGAGAATTCGTAAAGAAAGTAGGATTTAGAATTATCTGGGGATTGAAGAAACCCTATAGCAGATTTATTATGTGCATTTTTCATGCATGAATTAGCCAGATATATAATCTGTGAATAGCGTCAAAGCGAAAGAATGCATGATAAAACTGCCGGTAAAATAATTGGTGCAGTAAAAAGAGAAGGAATGGGAATTCACTGGGAATTGAAGGTACCCTATACCAGATTAATTATTTGCACCAGAGAATCGTGTCATGAATTAGCCAGAGACAATATGTGAATTTCTAATGAAGCATCAACCTGTAACCCTGGTAGAGGGTAAATCGAATCGGAATTGTTTTATATGTCAGGATGCTCACCGAGGCTTGCGTACAAAAATGAAGACAGTCGAAGCACGACTGTGCGAGAACAGCTGATACCCAGCTACTGTGCTGTTTTCGTCGTTTTTCTTTGTGTCTTAATCTGTTATTCTTTAATCTGTATTTCATTCTGTATTAGTAAGCCTTCCCAACATCATTCGATAGCTATAAAACGAGACTTATTAGCCGAGATTCTTATGGCCTCCTTGGCGCCCACGTAGTGAAGAAAGCTGATGTCATGCGTCATACAGTACATGATGGCTGATGCCGATGCATGATGGAGGCCTCCAGTTGAACCTGTTCAATAATAATTTAAAAATGGGAGAAAGGTACAGTGACAGTTAGAAAGTCAGTGAGCAGATGCAGAGGGGTGAACGAGTATAATTAATAATAATAATAAGTTTATTGAGCACTAAATGATGTGAATACATTTGCAGGCTCTCTAGACTACAATATTTACATAATATATATATGGGTATACAATTATATATGTTTACATATGTAGTATGTTAAATCATACATGTGTTAATGCAAATTATGCTATAATATTAATTAATTAAGCTATTCACAGCATTATTGACAATAAGTGGCTGTGATATACTAGATTTCAGGTGAACTATGTATTTTAACAGCAGTCTTTACAAATTCTGCTAAATTAACAAAAGTCAGCGTGCCGATGCAATTTACTGTTTACACAACGTTGAAATCTCCGGGGTACACCGAAGGCTTATGTCTCGGCTTTAGTGTACGGCTTCAAGAGAACGACTTAGACCAGTGTCAAAATTTATTAAAACTTTCAACCCCTAAAAGCTTTCATTCATTCTCTAGATAGAAGTTTTGTCTAATAAAGTATGCCTGGGATTTCATTACAGCAGCTCCGTTTTCAATGTACATGTGCGCGTGTTTCAATCAGGCTAGTGGGGTCACGTTGAACTGGCAAACATGTTCATTTTCAGGA